GGAGAGAGAGATACCCCCCTGAGTTGCCTCCTATGGGTTTGTGCCGTGACCCGGAATCGAACCCATGACTTTCTGGTGGCTTGAACAGAGCCACTCTGCTGGCCAGGGCAGGAATATCTTTTGTTCTAATGAGGTGACTCTGGGTGGGCTCCCGGATGGCTCCAGGGCTGGTCACCAGACATGCCAAGCCATAATTAGAAGCTGGGGACTCTCATTCCCCCACCCCCACCCCTACCCTCCGGGGCTGGGAGAGGGGCTGGAGACTGAGTTTGCAATCCATCTCCACCAAACTCCCTGAAGTACAGGGTGTGGAGAGCTTCGGGGTTGGCGGACACGCTACATGCTCGAGGGTGCGTGTCTCTTCCTCTCGCTCCTCCTCTGTGCCCTTCCTCACAGCCTTCGTCCCACAAGAAATCGGCAAACATAAGTGTGTTTTCGGAGTTCTCCAAACCATGATGGCAAAGCATCCAGCCTGAGCAAGGGGCTGTGGGAACCCCGATTTGTAGCCGGTTGGTCAGAAGTGCAGGTGACAACGTGGGACTGGGGACTGGCATCGCAGTGGGGAAGTCTGGAGGGACTGAGCCCTGAGCCGTGGGTTCTGCACGCACTCCGGGTGGTGTCGGAATGGAATTAACCCGGAGGACGCCCCGTTGGTGTGTCTGCAGGAAACTGGAGTCTGCTTGAGGTGGAAAACCCACACATCTGCGTAAGGTTCCAGCTGAGAGGTTTGCGACGCAGAAGCAAGACACGGAGTCCAGGCGACTAAAAGGGGGGAGGTTTTAATCTGCGCTCCCAGGCGAAGCTCACTAGTCCAGGGTGGGCCAGGGAAGTTGGCGCCAAAAGGCGGCACAGGTACTTCTTTTATACAGCTGTTTACGCGGGGAGGGAGAGGGCATGAGAGGTGGAATTCCTGCCTCGGGCCAGGGGTCCAGGAAGGTCCTAGGAAGGCGCCAGCTATCTCTGTCACCATCCACCTTGCAGATGCTTGCATGGGCTCTGGGCTTCCCCCATGCCTGGACCTAACAATCTGGCGTCGGAGCATTCTGTGAGAAGAGGGAACTGTTTTCCCTTTCAGCTGGCGTCCGTCTGAGAAGTGGAAGTTGCTGGACCGGCCCGGCTCATGGAAAAGTGTGGTTTGGGAAGGGGAAGGAGGTCAGGGCGTGAGGAACTCCAGACTCCTGGGTGCCATGTTGTCAGTCTCCGTGATGTGGACAGGGAGCGGGCGCCAGCGACTGTGAAAGCGACCAGTGGAATCGGGAGATGACTCTTAACTCTTGGGGAGCCGGTTTACTGGATGCTGAAGGAAATAGGGAAAAAACACACACACCACAAAACAAACAAACAAAATATATAGGCCCTTGGTTGTGGCTGTTGGTAACAGTTAAAATGAAATTGAGAGACTGGTGGGTGGCATCTTTTTGTTTTTTTAAAGTATATTTTATTGACTTTTTAGAGAGAGGAAGAGAGAGGGATAGAATTAGAAACATCGATGGGAGAGAATCATCGATCAGCTGCCTCTTGCACACCACCTACCGGGGATGTGCCCGCAACCAAGGTACATGCCCTTGACAGGAATCGAACCTGGGACCTTTCAGTCCGCAGACCGACGCTCTACCACTGAGCCAAACCGGCTTCGGCTGGTGGGTGGCATCTTGATTTCAGAGTCTGAGCTTGGGCCACTAGCCTCAAAGCCACCCCAAAGGGAAAAATTACTCAGGGACAACAGAAAGCACCTCTAGGACAGGGGTGGGGACCTGCCGAGGGCCATATGGATACGTGTAACAGTATCTGTGGGCCACAGAAAATGATCAACTTAAAAACCAGCCTGCTATATTTGGTTAAATGTTGTATTAACTCACCCCGAATGCCGTGGCAGGGCCAGACCACATGACCAAACCACATGATTTCTCAAGGCCCGTGGGCTGGACGTTCCCCACCCCTGCTCTAAGGCATCTGGTCACCAGGAAAGTCGTCAGCTGCCAGGAGGGTGGGAGGCAAAACCAGGAAAGGACTGAAACCAGGGTGCAGCCTGAGGGTTCATTCTGTGAACTGATGCCACCAGCTCCCTGAAACAGTCACAACTGGGAATCCAAGGGAAGCGTGCTCCTTGTGCTTTTTCTGCTGATTTGAAACTTTTTAAAATTAAAGATTGAACAACCCCAGCAAGTTCTTTCCATTTTTTTGTTCCACTGTCCCAAAGTAGAGAAATACGTTGGGTCACAGCTCACAATCACAGAATGGCTGCAATAGCTTCTATGCTCAAAGCCAGAAGAGGGAGTCCCTGCTTCATGTGCTTCTTTAAAAGTGAGCAAGTGGCTCAGTGGTTGAGCATCAACCTATGAACCAGGAGGTCACGGGTTCAGTTCCCGGTCAGGGCACATGCCTGGGTTGTGGGCTTGATCCCAGAGGGGGGGGAGGGCATGTAGGAGGCACCCCATCCATAGTTCTCTCTTATCATGGATGTTTCTATCTCTCCCTCTCCCTTTCTCTCTAAAATCAATTTTTTTAGCCGAAACCGGTTTGGCTCAGTGGTAGAGCGTTGGTCTGCGGACTGAAAGGTCCCAGGTTAGATTCCGGTCAAAGGCATGTACATTGGTTGTGGGCACATTCCCGGTGGGGGATGTGCAAGAGGCGGCTGGTTGATGTTTCTCTCTCATTGACGTTTCTGGCTCTCTATCCCTCTCTCCTCCTCTCTGTAAAAAATCAACAAAATATATTTAAAAAATAAAAATAAATAAAAATAAATAAAATCAATTCTTTAAAAAAGTGAAGCAAACATTTCTAGAATCTCCCCTCATGTCTTATTGGTCAGAAGTACACCACACACACACACACACACACACACACACACACACACGCACCATGACGAACAAAACAAGAAGAAGAGCATCACAGGTCCGATTACTGGTGAGAGGACACCGAGTAAGCACGGCTGGCTTAGACTCAAGCTTTAAGCAACAAAGATGCACTCACTGCCTGGAACAGGGATGCCCACCCCATCTGACGCCCATGCCACCAAGCGCTCCCCTGAGGGAAACCAGGACTCCGTCAGCAAGGAAGGTGGGGGTAGCTCTAGGTCCCGAGGGAGTCGAAGGAAGTAGGTACTGCCCTCCCCTGGGGGGCACAGGACTCAGGCTGGTCAGCATCTGTGCCCCATCCCCTTGGGCACAGGCTGAGGGCAAGGGACCCACGCCAGGCCGATGAGTCCGCCCTGGGACGTTGGTCGGGAGAGGTACCCGTCTGGGAGGCAGCACAGCCGAGGCAGGCACCTGGAGTGCTGGGTCGCCTCCTGGGGGCAGGCCGTAACTCCATCGCGCCTTAGCCCGGGTGAGCTGTTTCCGTCACAGCCTGACGTCTCCGCAAGTGCCATCCGATGACATTGTCGGTGACAGCTTGGCCTCGGACAGACATGGCATCAGTAGGCCGTTTGGGGCTGCTCTGTGGCCTGGAGGAGCTCAGGGTAGCTGGGCACAGGCACGGAGCACCCAGGGGTGAAGGATGCCCAAGGGGGGGTGCCCCAGAGTCTCACCCGAGCAGCCAGAGAGTGGGGAACCTCGGTCTGTACTGAGAGGGGGCTACAGCCTCCTGGAGCCAGCCACGAATTCAAATCCTGCGTCAGCTGATCTCCTTCTTGTGGAAGTTAGCATTGCATTTCCAACCTGCATCCCCAAGACCTTCCCAAGAGGAGGGACGAGGGATACAAGCTTGCCGGGTTTCTGAGGGACTGAAACAAATCGCTACATGAAGACTCAGCCAAGGACAAGCCCTGCAGCTTAGGCCCTACTGCAGGGAACACGCTGGGGCCGAGATGGCCCTCCTCCCGCGGGGAAGGCCGTGGGGCCAGCTTTGGGGAGATGAGGCTCAGCTAGGGGCTCTGCCTCCCCTTCCGCCCTGAACAGACACAAACCCCCAGAGACACTCCCACGCGCACTTTATTAAGTCCGGGAGGACTAGTCACAACGGGGGCGGGGATGGCAGGGAAGGCCCAGCCCCCACCCGCACCATCACCATCACCATCACGTGATAATAAATAAATAAATAGATAACGAGGCGGACACAGGGGAGAAGTGGCACAGCAAACACGGACGGCACAGGGAGGGGCACAGATGTCCCCACTGGAGTGGTGGCCACCGTTAACACTGGACCGTGATCAGGGGAGGGCGGGCTCTGGAAGCCTGCAGAGCCACTGAGGGGCCCCTGGTTAGCAGTCTCGATGGGGTGGTGGGGGGGTGTGTCTTTAGAATGTGGACCTTCTATGGACAGAAACCTGGACCCCTGGCTCAGCCAGTCAGACCGAGATTGTCAAGAGACCAATGTCTCTAACTTGTTCCATGCAGGGCCTCAAGGACCCATGGGTCATGATTACCTGTACGACTGGTCTACCCAGCATCTAGCCATGAAAGGGCCATTATCATTCATCCTTCTGATTGGTCCAGTCAGGCTCCGGGACATCCGGGGGGTGGGGGTGGGGGGGGTGGTCATGGTTACTCAGGCTCCCAGCTGGTCTACTCAGGACCCACCATCAGTGAATCCCTACGACTCAGCCTTCTGATTGGTCCGCTCAGGGCTCAGGACAATGCGGTTTGTGGTCACCTAGACCTCTGATTGGTCAACAGGACCCCAAGGCCAGGACATGGGGAGCAGGCAGCGCTCTGGAGGCCCCAGGGAGAGGTGAGCACGTGAAGAGCTCAGGGTTGGGGGAGACCTTCAGTGGGCATCAGGGCCCAGATCTCAACAAGGGAAGTCACCGGGCAGGAAGTAAGGCCACCTTGGCTGGGTCACGCCAGGGCAAGCCAGTGCGGCAAGGGCAGCAGCAAGGGTGCTCAGCGGCCCCCGGGGGTACCAGGGTCCTAAAACCTTCCCGGGGTCCCAGCCCTATGAGGGTGAGGAAACTGGGGCCGGAGAGCCAGTGGCACTGAACGCAGCTCCCGGGCCCGTCACCTCCATCTATGGAATCGGGGTGGGGCGGGGCTGGGGCTGCGGTTCCAGGTCAGGTGGGCTCAGTCCTCCAGCCCCTCCGTTAAGTCTGCGATGCTCTCCACGTAGTAATGGGGCACCAGGTCGTGCTGGCTGGCCGCCAGGTAGGCCTGGGCCTCCTCCAGGCGCGACACGCCGGTGAGCGTGAGCACGGTGGTCATGCCGCAGCGGTGGCCGAAGAGGATGTCGGTCTCCAGGCGGTCGCCCACCATGAGCATGCGGGCGGGGTCCAGGCTGAAGTGCTCCGTGATGCACTCGAACATGTAGGGGCTGGGCTTGCCCACCACCAGGGCCTGGCGTCCCGAGGCCGTCTCCACCGCGGCGGCCAGGCTCCCCGTGCCTGCAGGGAGACGGAGACCCGGTCAGTGAGGGGAGGCCAGGCCGCGGGGAAGGAATCCAGGCCCTGACACGGGACTCCGCAGAGAGGCCGCAGGGCGTGGGGGTCCAGCGAGGCACTGGAGCCCTGGCTAGGGGCTCAGCTGGTTAGAGTGTCATCCCGATACGCCATGGTTGCAGGTTGGATTCCTGGTCAGGGCATGTACAAGAATCAACCAACGGAATGCATAAATTAGTGGAACAAATTGATGCTTCTTTCTTTCTAAAATAAATTAAAAAATAAAAATGAGGACCTAACTGATTTGGCTCAGTGAATAGCATCAGCTTGCAGACTGAAAGGTCCCAGGTTCGATTCCAGTCAAGGGCATGTACCTCGGTTACGGGCACATCACCAGTGGGGGATGTGCAGGAGGCAGCTGATGGATGTTTCTCTCTCATCGATGTTTTTAACTCTCTATCCCTCTCCCTTTCTCTCTGTAAAAATCAGTAAAATCTATTTAAAAAAAAAAAAAAATCAGGCACCAGAGTCAAAAAAATCAGGCACCAGAGCCAGCTTCCAATCTTACTGTAGTGGTAAAGAGGCCACGCCCCCTGCAACCAGCATTCAAACTAATCTCCACCTTTCTCGGGCAGGCTGTTCCACCCGTGCCTCCGTTTCCCCTTCCCTAACATGGCACTGATCTCATGGGGGTATTGTAAGGCGTGAACGAGCCACTGCATGTAGCCGAGGTTCACTGTTTCACCCCGGCAGCGTGTGCCTTCGGACAAGCCGTCCACTCGCTGAGCTCCTGGGTTGGGCCAGCTGGAAAAGGAAGATCCAAGTGATGCCCACCCTGCAGGAGGCGCTCCGGGGCAGGTGCTCTGGAAGCGGAAAAGCACCTCCCAGCCAGCAGCCGTGGCTCTGGCTACAAGAATGCCCTCTGGCATCGGAGACGGGCGCAGCCCTTCTGGAACACAGCGGGGCCCAGAGCCGTTCGCACCTCTGACCCCGCCAGCCTCCGCCGGGCAGCGGCCACGGGCGGGAATTCAGACCGGAGACAAAAGGCTACACACATGCCTGAAGATGTCTGCGGCCAGTCACTGTGATACCCCAAGCCGCGGACCACGCCCCGTGCTGAACAATAGGGGGACTGTTTATAAAAGGACAGCCCCACTCCTGGCCATCCGCCCCACACAAGGACTCCGCTGTGCCCGCCCCACAGGCACGTCTTGGTGCCAGATGTTCGGCCTTCATGCTCACGTCCCAGAACAAATGATGACGATGATGGTGACAGTAATTACAATTTACTGAGCATGTTTTTAAAGTGCCCGGGGCTGGGCTAGTGCTCGTGGAAGCCCATTTCACAGAGAAAGCTGAGGCTCAGGGATGTTGAGTAACTTGCCCGGGGTTGCACAGCTTAACAAGTGACCGATAAAGTGCATTCAGGGGGGAAGGACCCACTCATGTGCTGGGCCTGCTCCTACATATTTGGGAGTCCCGATGGTTTCACTTCCAGGAATTCTGTCAGCTGGTGGTTACACAAAGCCATTGTCTAACGTCCCCTTATAGAAAGTTACGATAAAATGAATTTAAAAAGTATTTTATCGATTTTTTACAGAAGGGAGAGGGACAGAGAGTCAGAAACGTCGATGAGAGAGAATCATTGACCAGCTGCCTCCTGCACAGCCCCCACTGGGGATGTGCCCACAACCAATGTACATGCCCTTGACCGGAATTGAACCTGGGACCCCTCAGTCCGCAGACCGACGCTCTATCCACTGAGCCAAACCGGCCTCAGCTAAGATGAATTATGTTTAAAACAAAGGGAATTCTCGCCAAAACCGGTTTGGCTCAGTGGATAGAGCATTGGTCTGCGGATTGAAAGGTCCCGGGTTCGATTCCGGTCAAGGGATGTACCTTGGTTACGGGCACATCCCCAATAGGGGGTATGCAAGAGGCAGCTGATAGATGATTCTTTCTAATCAATGTTTCTAGCTCACTATCCCTTTCTCTTCCTCTCTGTAAAAAAAATCAATAAAATATATTAGCTAAAAATGTTAATATGTCATAGTTCTGATTTCTCATATTGTTTTTCTGCATTGGCACTGTTTTATTATTACTTAATAGCCAGAGTTTTGCTCTTGACATTCAAGTTTTGAAAATGATAACATGTATGTGGTTTAGTTTGCCAAAAAAAAAAAAAGGTAATTCTCAAAACTCATCACTTCCTAATGATTTAACCATGCTCTATGCTCCTAACATGATGTATAGCTGTACCAATAGCAATGCTATGTAATGGCGTGCACACATCTTCCCAATTCCGTGCTCAGTGACTTCCCAGCAGGAGCTTGAAGGTCTGCCATGGGGGAGTACTCCCACCACGGACACTTGGCAAGTGGTATAAACCAGGGTGCCCCCATTTACTACACATGTAGCAGTGGGTCTGACCCCAAGGCTCCGGCCTCCTACCCCCCTGCTCACAGGGAAGCCAGAGGCTCAGGAGGGTCAGTGGCCCCAGATGAGAAGGAGGAACTCCCCTGTGTCACAGGACAGGGCACTCCCTGTGTCACGGGGAGCGCTCCTCGCCATCTGACTGAGAACACGCCCACTTGTTTTCATAAGGAGCAGGGATGGAAGAAAAGCCATTTGCTTCCTGGGCGAGAGATTCCTTCTAGGATGGGAACAGCTCAGCTGAGTCACCCCAAACTATGCCTCTCAACTTCTTCCTCTCCTCCCAGGACAGAGCTGAACGCCCTTGGTCCCCACGTCCCATTCCATCCACTCTGCTCATACTTCCTGAGCCCCACCACACCCCAGGCGCTGTGCTAGGCGCTGGGACAGAGCAGTGGACACAACCAAGAGCCCTAGCCTGGGGGAGGGGCTTCCCGGGTCTGGACTCAGACCACCATGACCCTCTTCTCTCAACATTCGACAATTCGAGACCGTCACATGCTCTGGTGGTGACGTACTCCTGAAACAGCAGGCTTTTCCATTTGGCAGCTGGAGCGGCTGCCACATGGTGACAAGGAGTCCCGCAGGGGGAGGGAAAATGGAGGGGAGAGACTGGCATTATTTCAGATTTTATGCAGCAGAGGCCTTTATTAATATGTATATGCCACGGTCTCCAAGCTGCAAGCTGCATCCTGCGGCGTAAAACATGACAGCAGCGCGGTATTCCTCGTCTTCCTTAGGCCTCTGCCTCCCCCTCCAGGCTGAGGGAATGACCAGCAGGCACGGCCTGGTGGGTGTTGAGATGGAAGTGGCAGACAGGGGCAGGGCCTGGTCTCTTCCCAGCGCTTCCACGCCACCTTCCCCGAGTCCTGGGGGCCTCTGACCCCACAGCCTTAACCTGACTTTGAGGCCTTCAGGGAGAGATTAATTTTTCTTTTTTTAAATATATATTTTATTGATTTTTTTTTTTTTTTACAGAGAGAAAGGGAGAGAGATAGAGAGTTAGAAACACCAATGAGAGAGAAACATTGATCAGCTGCCTCCTGCACACTCCCTACTGGGGATGTGCTTGCAACCAAGGTACATGCCCTTGACCAGAATCGAACCCGGGACCCTTGAATCTGCAGGCTGATCCTCTAGCCACTGAGTCAAACTGTTCAGGGCGATATTCACTTTTCATAGCCTGGCCTATGGCAGGCAGGAGCTGCTGGGGAAGAGGGAGGCTCACCTTGGGTTTATGGGAAAACAGGCTGAAGTGGCCGTGCAGCTAGTAGGCATGCAAAAAAAAAAACAAAAAAAAAACAACAGGACAGGTCTAGAACTATAGACCCCCAGCTTGGAACTGGTTCTGCCGTGGCCAAGCCCTATCCCACGTGTCCTCCCCCAGCGCCCTGTCCTGCAAGATGTCTCCTCCAGGAAGCCTCTCCAGACCCCCTAAGATCCAGGCCTCCCTGCCACCCCAGGGCAACACAAACCCTCAGTGAGTACCCCAGCCCCGCCAGGACTGGGTATTCAACAGCGGCCTGGGTCAGTCACCAGAGGGAGGAGGTGATGGAGGGCTGTCCCTGCCCTCAGCCCCTGACTGACCGGGGCGCTGGCCTGTCCACACTCACTGCTCTCAGTGAGCCTCCGCTACCATCTGCTCTTATCTAACGGGATCCTTCCAAAGTGCAGGACCCTCCGCCGGCTCCCGCCTCCTCCGCGGGTCTGAACGCCCAGGTGACAGCCGTGAAGAGGGCCGTGGATGAAGGGGGTGGGAGCTGGGTGGCCACAAGATCCAACTTCTAGTTCCCTGAACTCCTGGGCAGCTCACTCCCCCGCCCTCTCTGCGCCTCAGTTCCTTTAACTGAGAAATGGAATAATCCCCCCCCCCCCCCCGAATAATTTGGGAAGTAAATAAGAACAGATTCCGAGATGCTGGGACGTGACAGCTCTGGACGCAACTGACACCATCTGAGCGCCTATGGGCACAGATCATTCTTCACGCCATGAAACTGGCACGGTTAGCATTCCCACCTCACAGCGGGAGACGCTCGGAGGTTATGTAACCGGACAAGATCACAGAGCCGTGGGGCTGGACCCGGGTCAGACTCCAACCACCTCCGATGCTCGGTACTCCCGCACACCTGCCGCTGGATACGGGGTCCCCGCTCTCCCACGGCAAGACGATCCTCCCGGGTTTTGTCCTCACATACATCTCCGACCTCACCCCAATAGCGGGTGAGACAAAATGACAGGATTCCATGGGGCTGGCTCAGGAAGGATTGGGCTGGGGGTAGGGGTGCCTGGACTCCGGATCTGCCCAACGAGGACACCATGCTGCCCCTCACCGTGTGGCAGCTGCAAGAAGGACCAGACCTCGACACGAAAGAAAGCACCTGGGGCTCTTTCTGGGTTGCAGCCGCGCTGGCCATCCTCCAGGCCCCTACCTGTCACCAGGAGACGCCCCTTCCCCGGCCCTCACCCCCAGGCAGGGAGGGGAGAGCCCAGGCCGTCCGCCCACCCTCCCCCGCGCTCTTACCGGGAGTCCGGCTGCCGTCGCTGAGCGGGTGCCAGGGGTCGCGGTCGGTGGCCACCAGCAGGCAGTCGGGGTCGCGCAGGTGCGCGCACGCCTCGCTCAGCTTGGCGAAGGAGAAGTGCTCGTCGTAGCCCACGAGCACGGCGCGCACGCGCGGGGCCGCGCCCGGGTCCTCGCCGGGGTCCCCGGCCAGGCGCAGCCCCGCGGCGCGCAGCTCGGCGCGCAGCCCCTCGCCGCCCAGCACGAACACGGGGCCCGGCGCGTCCAGGCGCTGGCGCAGCAGGCGCGCGGCGCACAGCGCGGAGCTGAAGAGCTGCTCGGCGCGCAGCCCGCCGAAGCCCAGGCGCGCGAAGCGGAGGGCCAGCTCGGGCCGCGCGCGCCGGCTGTTGTTGCTCACGAACAGCGCCGCCTTGCCGGCCCGCGCCAGCCGCTCCACCAGCTCCGGGGCGCCCGGCACCACGCGCTCGCCGTTCCACAGCACCCCGTCGCAGTCGAACAGGACCCCCTGCGCCCGGCCCAGCACGTCGCGCAGGGCCGCGCCGCACAGCCGCTCGCAGCGCGCCATGCAGCCGGCTGGCCGCCCGCAGGCCCGCGCCGCGCCGCCCTCCCTCCGCGGGCACGGTGCGCCCGCCCGCATCCCGCTCGGCCCGCGCACCGGCCAATGGGCGCTCGGGAAGGGCCGGGGGGCGGGGCTACGGCCTGGCCCGCGGCCAATAGAGGCCAAAGTTAAGGGGCGAGGTCGCGTGCAAACAGAGCTCGCGGAGAAGGGCGGGATCGCGATTGGCACCAGGGGGATGGGAGACTGACGCTCTTCTGGGCCAATAACGAGTGAGAAGTAGAAATTGTGGCGCGAATGGGGCCCTGCGCCCCTCAGCCAATTAGAAGCTTAGGAGAGCTGGTTGCTAAGAGGAAAACGGATGCTCAAGGAGCTGATGACACCTTTGGGTCAAGTCTTCTTGCCCTCTGAACTGTGGGTGCTCCGGGTCTGAGCGTGTGGGTCTGATGGGGAGACAGACGCTGGGTGTCTTCCTGAGCGCCGGGGCCCTGGGCTTACACCAGTGACCCTCTAGGCTGGCTATACTGCAGAGACCCCTGGAGCAATACGTGATAGGACCCCAAAGAGTTTTGCTTTAATTGTTTGGGGGGTGGCCTGGCATTTTTGGTTTCTCTGTTTTAATTATCAAGGATTCTACTGTGGGGCCAGGGTGAAGAGGCTCTGGGCTAGAGACAGGCTGTCACCAAGCAGTCCGGGGAGGGGAAGGAGCCAGAGCAGCAGTGGCCAGTGGCCCAGGGCAGCTGCCGAGGCCCCCCTTGGGGCAAGGAGTCTGGGAAGGCTCTGAAGACCTGTTTCACTTCCAGGAGCGACGGGTGCTCTAGAGACCTGGGAAAAGCCACATCCTATAAGCTAACCAGGTATTTCCTGCTCCCCAATGGCCTGGCCTTTGTCACGGGTGCATAGGTGGTCTCTGTGGCTTGGAATGTTCTTCCTTCTTCCCTGACTTTTCCACCTGGCCAGCCCTTGAAAGACTCCCCTTGGCTATCACTTCCTCTAGGAAGCTTTCCGTGACCTCTGCCCTCCAGACGCACACTAGCCCGGGTCAGATGGCTTGTGCCTAATTGGGCCAATGTGGACTCCGGAGTCGTGACACTGGATTCCAGTTGTCAGTTGTGCCTGTCCGTTCCCAGGAGCAACCAGGGCCGTGCCAGGGACCTCGCCCAGGTCTGGCAGGGCAGCCTCGGGGGAGGTTGGCAGACAGATCCATCCCTGCTCCTGGAGAAACCTCTCCTGCCTTCCCTAGATTGGGGGGCCAGCCTCAAGGGGAAGGGTGGTCCTTAGGTCTTTACAGGATGTCTCTCATTTAATCACCGAGACAGCACTTCTGCGGGGGGAGCTGTCACCCGTTTCCCAGACGAGGAAACCAGAGCTCTGAGAAATTAGGTCCGTTGCCCAGGACGGGAGGGGCAGGTCCAGGCTCTGGAATCGGTCAGACCTGGGTCCTAATCCCAGGTCCATGCCTCACGCACCGTGCGACCTCAGCAGGTCATGTTCTCGGCCTGTCTCCTCACCAGTAGCAGGTCACGGGGTCTGCCTTCCAGGAGAGGGTCGCATGGAAATCATGCACAGAAAAGCAGCGAGCGGCCCAGAGCCAAGTGCCGAAAAGCTCCGGCTGCGATCCTCTCAGGCAGGAAGAAGGAAAGGAGGCAAAGAAAGGCTGAATTTTCCCCGTTACGAAAGTGGCTTCTTTATTTCGAGTACAGAAAATAAAGCTATCTGTTGGGCAGCTTGCTCCAGTTTTGTCCAAAATAATTTATTCACCTGCCTTACAAAAAAAAAAAATAGGTTGTCAAGAGAAAAATCAATGTCCTAGTAGGAGCAGGCAAGCTCTCCTTCCTCCCGGTGGCTCCCCGGGGACCTTGCCGGAGAGTGGGGGGGTGGGCTGAGCCCCCCAAGACCAAGGTGGATCCAGGAGGAAAAGGACTGGACGTGGAGGGCTGTCCTGAGCCCTCCTTGCCGTGGGGCCGACCCAGCGGGCACCGAGGCACTTGTAGGCAAAGGCTAGGGGCCCCCACCTCTTGGGAGGGGGGAAGGCTGTGTCCTGGGAGGACAAGTTGGAAGAGAGGGGACACCGAGGGCTCTTGGGGAGGGGCCACCCACTCAGTCGGTCTCTGAGGCAAGGCTCCGGGGCCGAGGCTGAGGGGACTCAGCCGTGGGAGTGGGGGTGCCGTCTACAGCCTCAGGGCCGTCCCCATCCTCCGTGGCCGCCCCCAGGTCCCCCCGGGCAGGCGTGCTCAGGGAGACCGGGCTGGGGGAGGCTGGACCCGGGGAGGTTTGGCTGGGGGAGGCTGGTGATCGCCGGCTCTGGCGCCGGGCAGGCTGTGGGGGGATGGGGGGCAGCGGGGGTGGCACGGTGGGGGCCCGGAGGCTGCTGCCAACCAGACGGCGAGGCAGAGCCCGGGGGATGACAGGACTGCCGGAGGCGGGGGACACGGATGGGGCCGGCGGGGAGGAGCGGCTGCCAGAGACCTGGGGCGGTGGCATGGTGGGCCGGGCGGGTGCTGGGCGCTTGGCTGCGGAGGAAGGAAAGGGGCGGTAAGGTGTCCGTGTCGCCTGTGGCCAAACCCCCAAGCTCAGCCCCGCCTCAGGACCTTTGCACCTGCTGCTGCTCCTGCAGGAACACTGTGTGCATGCCGGCTCCTCATCACAAGCCTCTCTACGCGTCCCTTCATCCCTCAGCTAGAGACTCCCTGCCCCTGCCCCCTTCCTCCATCCCCCCCCAATCCCATCACATTTTCCAGTTCTATTTTCTTCACAGGGCTTCCTACTCTCTCTCTTATTTTACTTGACTATTGCTTGCTTCCCTCCAGCAGAACGTAAGCTACGTGCGGCCGTCTGAGGTATGGCTGCCTCGCACAGTGCTAGGCCGAGCAGGTGTCCAGCACAATCCCGTCAAAGAAGGAAATGCTACCTGTCCCCGACACTGGGCTCTTGCTCACTTCCCCTCAGAAGCCCACCGAACTACTCCCCCCCCCCAGCGCACAGACCCCACTGCGCAGGCCAGACGGCCAAGGCCGCCACGGGACCGGATGGGCCAGGAGGTCGGACTCCGGTCCTAGCTCTGCCTCTGCCCACACAGCACCTGCCCCCGGGGCCCCGGTTTTCTCATCGGGAAGATGGGGTGAGTCCTCAGCCTCCTGGGGCTGCCGTGAGGACCAGCTCAGGGATGCTGACCGTCCTTCCGAGTGTGCTCCGTCACTGCCCCGCATCCGGAAAGGGGGGCTGTGTGCCGGCCTCCCACAGGGAGGCTCCTGTGGGACCCGCCGCTCCTGCTGGTCTGGAGGCTCTGCAGCTGCTCCACCTGCTCCCGGCTCTACACTGGACCCCGTGGAAAACTCTAGAACTTCCTGGGCTGGCCAGGGCCTCACAAGACTCTGCACCTGAACCTCACCGGCCTGGCTTTCGGCAACTCAACAGGACTATGTCCCAAAGGACCCAGGAGGAGGCCCAGGTCTCTCCCCCACCAGCACCCCTCCCTCCTCCCCACTCCCTGTGCTGAAGACTGTCCTCCATCTTCACTCTGTGACTTTGGGCCCCGCTGCCCCCCATGCTCACAATGACTGACTTTTCTGGAGCATTTACTGCATCCTCCCAACAGCCCTACCAGGCAGGGGCCGTCACTGTCCACTGAGGCGCAGGGAGCTGCAGTCACCTGCTCAAGGTCACCAAGCTGGACTCTGAACCCGGCGTGTGAGGCAACAGACTGGCTCGTAGCCACCTGGCCTCCCCTGGATGCCTGAGACCACGGGGCGGTCTGGACTGCCCACCCCTGGCCCCCCTCGGACCCCTCCTCCTCCCCCAGCCAACTCACTCCTCCGCGCTGTGTCTTCCGCGGGGGCTGCCGCCTCGGGGGGGCTCCTGCTGACCTTGGGGGAGGCCGGTCTGGGGGGAGCCTCAGACTCCGTCCTGTGAGGGAGAGGAAGGTCAGCCTCAGGCTGGGCCACTTCCCAGATGTCCCTGGGCCTCCCAGCCAACAGGCCGGGTTTGGGCCCTCTGCCGGTGGCGGGGCCGGGACCGTCCCCAGGCTGCCCCTGCCCCCCAGATGCTGTTGGCGTTGGTCAGGGTTTGCATCCAGAGTCCCTGGCTGCTGCGTGACTGTGCAGTGTCCGTGGTCCCCTATGGGGCCAGGACGGGGAGAAAGCAGGGCCTCCCCTCGGCTTCAGCTCTCAGCCTCCTTGTGAGATATATATATATATATATATATTAATATATTTTATTGTTTTTTTACCGAGAGGAAGGGAGAGAGATAGAGAGTTAGAAACATCGATGAGGGATAGTCATCGATCCAGCTGCCTCCTGCACACCCCCCACTGGGGATGTGCCCGCAACCAAGGTACATGCCCCTGACCAGAATCGAACCTGGGACCCTTCAGTCCGCAGGCTCTATCCACTGAGCCAAACTGGTTTCGGCATGATATATTTTTAAATGTGTATTTTTGTTGATTTCAGAGAGGAAGGAAGAGGGAGAGATACAAACATCCATGATGAGAGAGAATCATTGACCGGCTGCCTCCTGCACACCCCACACTGGGGATGGAGCCTGCCACCTGGGTATGCGCCTTGACGGGGAATCACACCGTGACTCCTGGTTCACAGTTTGACTCAGTGGCTGAGCCATGCCAGCTGGGCCTCTTTTTGATCTTTAGGATGTTCTGGCCCCTGGGAGCCAGAGCATGATGGACAAGAACAGAGGGGCGGTCTCCTGCCTGCCTCCAGGTCTCTGCTCAGCCGGCTCCTCCTCAGGCTCTTCCTGACCCCGGGGCTGTGGCAGCTCCTCCTTGGTGCCCTCTCCTGCTCCCCCCCCCCCCAGTGCCTCTCCTGCTCCCCCTCAGTGCCCTCTCCTGCTCCCCCACGGTGCCTCTCCTGCTCCCCCTCGGTGCCCTCTCCTGCTCCCCCTCAGTGCCCTCTCCTGTTCCCCCTCGGTGCCTCTCCTGCTCCCCCTCAGTGCCCTCTCCTGCTCCCCCTCAGTGCCCTCTCCTGCTCCCCCTCGGTGCCCCTCCTGCTCCCCCTCGGTGCCCTCTCCTGCACTGTTCTCCGGGGCGGCACACAGCTCTGCCTGACCCTGTTGACCTCTCCGGGGAGAACTTGCTGATTCTCTCTCCGCCCCCGGAGCACAGTTCTGAGGGCAGCTTTGTCTGTCTAGCTCACGGGAGGAAATTCACAGTTTGGGCTCAGCAGCCTGACAGCCACACGATCCTGCTTGGCAGGAATATCAGGGATCAGAGAGAAGACGGGAAGGTGCTGACACATCCCACAGTGACCAGCTCACTAGTTCCCTACATCCGTGTGGCCTGGAACAGTGCCCGGCACGTAGTAGGCGCTGCACAAGTGCGTTGTATGGCTATTTGCTGAGCGCCTACTATGTGCCAGGCACTGTTTCAGAGGCCGAGAGGAGTATTATCTCAGAGCTTCCACCCACCCACCCCAAACCGGGAAACCTGGCGTTTGGGATAAAAATCCAACAATGCCATTTCCCAAAACGCTGCTGGGAGCCATGAGAGATGGTGCCTTGGGACAGGGGCCATTCATACCTGAGAGTCCTTACCTTTCCTTGGTAGGCACTGGGGCCGGGGTAGGAGCTGGGGCTGGGGCCGGGGCCAGGGCCGGGGCCGGGGCCGGCATGGCAATGGCTGGAAGCTCCTCAGAGGCCGGCCTATCGCTGACCTTGTCCTGGGGGGTGGCGGCCGGGAACAGGCCGGACACGTTGAAGTTGATGTCTGCGGACAGAAGCAGCCGGCCTTAGCTTTCAGGGTCTCCACCAGCCTCCCCGCGCGGCCGGCGCCAGGGCCACCTTCCCTTTTCCCGGAGATGGTCTGGACCACGATTTGCCTTCCCACTCCCACCGGAGCCTCCCAACGGCAGGAAGCAGGCAGGATCATCCCCATTCTACAGATGAGAAACTGAGGCTCAGAGCAGAGAAGCAGCTTCCTACAGGCCTCGTGGGGAGTACACGGGGCTGCCGGGACCGGAGCTGGTCTGGAGGGCACCGAGGTGGGCACAGAGGGCAAGGAGGGGCTCGCACACAGAGGCAAGGGCTTCACCTCCAGGGAACAGGGTGTCTGCGTTCTGGATCAGAGCTTCCACCACGCCCACCACCTGGATGGACGACACCGAGGCTGCATCCAGCTGGGCCTGGTCCCTGGGACAAAGGGGGTGAAGTGAGCCATCACGTAGCGAAGTCTCAGTGGCCCCAACTCCGTGTGGCCCGTGCCGGCCACTGGGAACACAGGACCCAGACGTCACATCCTGTTCTCAGACGCTGACAGACGCTGCGGAGGGCAAACATGTCGCTCACACCCCCAACTTCCCGTCCTTCACACACGACGGGTTCGCCTCGGTCAGGGCAGCTTCCCGCACTTCTTGGATCTAGGCCAGTGGTCGGCAAACTCATTCGCCACCAGAGCCAAATATCAACAGGGCAACGAATGAAATTTCTTTTGAGAGCCGAAAACCGACTTCTGGGCACGGGCCACGAAGTTTCAATCGCACTGTACGTGCGCGCCCGCGCGTGGTATTTTGTGGAAGAGCCACACTCTAGGGGCCAAAGAGCCGCATGTGGCTCACGAGCCGCAGTCTGCCGACCACTGATCTAGGCAGCCTCGACAGGAGCCGCATTCAGCAAACGAACGGCCAGGGGACCAGTGTGACCTCTCTCACACACAAGAGCATCCCTCCACTCAGCACCTCGCTGAATCCCACAGCAAAAGTCCTCGGACTTAGTGTAATTTCTCATCAACATACAGATGAGGAAATGGAGGGACTTACTAAGCCCCATCTCGAGAGGGCAGAGGAGGGGCTAAAACCAGATCTCGGGCTCCCAGCCTTCCCAGCACCCATTCCTGCCATTACCCGGAACGCTATCTCCAAAGCCCTGAGCGTCCAGGGTCCCTCTGGGCTGCTCTCCATGGAGCCTGAGAACAGGAGCTGCTCAACCCATTCCAAGGAGGAGGAAACTGAGGCCCAGGAGAAAGGCAGGGCCCCTCACCCTTCTTTCTCGGGGGGCCACAGCAGGTTGGGCCCCAGGACGATGGCGATGTTGCTGGGCGTCATCTTATTCACCTCCTGGTCCTCGGCCAGACGTGCCAGGAACTTCATCAGGTACCTGGGGAGACAGGAGATGGGCTTGGGCCCGGGGCGGGGCTTGGGCTACCAACTCCCATCAGCGTCCCCTGAGACGGAGCCTTTCCCAGCCTGGGGTTTCCAAGGTGTGGCCAGGACAGCACACAGGCTAGTTTAGAATTTTTTTGATAGCCAAAACCAGTTTGGCTCAGTGGATAGAGCATCAGTCTGTGGGCGGAAAGGTCCCAGGTTCGATTCCGGTCAAGGGCATATACCTTGGTTGCCCAGTAGGGGGTGTGCAAGAGGCAGCTGGTTGATATTTCTCTCTCATCGATGTTTCTAACTTTCTATCCCTCTCCCTTCCTCTCTGTAAAAAAAAAAATCAATAAAATATATTTAAAAAATAAAATTTTTTGATGGTTAAATTAGCTGACCTGCTGAGTGCCACTACGGGTCAGGCACTGAGCTAAGCTGAGAATCTATGGGGTGGTTTTGCCTGCTCGGGGGGACACAGTCACAGAGGTGGGATGTGAAGCCAGGTGGTGTGGCTTCAAAGGTTCAAAGTCTGTGTTCAGTTCAATATCTAGTATCAGAAATATGATTAGGTCAGCCCGGCTGGTGTTGCGCAGTGACTGAGTGTCAGCCTAGGAATCAGGATGGCTGCGGGGTCGTAGGCCATCGTCTGCTGAGGCGCGTCAGCACCGAGGCCCCAGCAGGTCTGAGTCCTGGCCAGAGCGCATGCCCGGGTTGGGAGCTCAATCCCCAGCAGGGGGCGTGTAGAAGGCAGCTGACCAATGATTCTCTCTCATCATTGATATTTCTGTCCCTCTCCCCACCTCTCTCTTCCTCTCGGAAATCAATTAAAAACATATATATATATCTTTAAAAACATGACTAGCACAGGGCTTGCTTCCACAGCACAATGCTGACACGGGAGCCGGGCGGAGATTAGCATGCCCCTGTGCAAGGAGGACACGCCCATTCGCGAAGTGTTCCTTATTTAAAACAAAAGATAAAAGAATAGAAATATGACTAGTACATCTAAGCTGTGTTTTCAGAAATGTTGCTTAGAACGAGGAGGTAGGACTCAAACCCAGGCCCCGGAGTCCCCGCAGGGCGGGGCCTCGAGGCGGCCGGGGGCGGCGTGGGCTCACCTGAGGTTGCTGAGGTTCTCCGGGGGCAGGCGGCCGCACACCTCCTGGAGGGCCTCCAGCCGGGCTCTGGGCTCCTTCAGGCTGCGGAGGGGAACAGGCCTGGTGAGCCAGCCCGGAGAGGCACCTCTGCAGCCTCCTCTCCCCACAGCCCCAGCCTCACCTGGCTGCCTTCATCCAATCGTCATAGAGGTCAAAGGTCATCAGGGGCTCGGGCAGCTCCCGCAGGTAGGACTTGAGGGCACCTGACGTGGTGGTGTGAGCTCAGAGGCAGCCCAAGCCTCCACCTTCCCCCCAGTACCCCGCTCCCTCTCCCCAGCTCTGGTCCTTGTTCACACTAGCATGTCTAGGTCTATCGTTTCTCGGGCCGTGTAGAGAACGTGATGAAGGCCAGTGATCTTGTTCTCAGAAAAGCGTACATACATGTCAGGGGGTCCATCGCAAACCCCGCGTTAAGGACCGCCATGTTTATGGGCAGGTTATCAGGCCTTAAAGCAAACTCTCATGTCAGGCAGCGGTGGTGACGGGATGTGGGGGACGGGCCCACCCAGGGCTCCTTGGGGCAGGTACCTGCTACGGCGTGGGGGTCGGAGCAGAACTCCTGCAGGCCGCGGGGGTCCGAGGCCATCGTCTGCTTGAGGCGCTTCAGCACGGAGGCCCCAGCGGCGAGACGGAAGAGGCCCTGGGTGGGAGAGGGACCAGGTAGGGTCATGGAGGGGTGGGTGGGCAGGACACCCTGGCTGGCCCTCACTGGCCCTGGGTCCCCCCTGGTCTGGCAGGCAGAGTGGACACCAGGGTCCTTGGATCCTCTCAACACGCAGGTCTTGGATTCTGAGCAAAGGGGGAGTCTGGGAGGGGCTGGGGCAGGTCGTGGGGAGACAGGCGTCTGGTTAGGGGAGGGAGGGAGCGAGGAGGCCCTCAGGATGAGCGGGAGCCTGTCTTTGAGTCCTTCCGCCTCCTCAGGGTCTGTCCTCGGGAAAGAGCTGATGGACCAGCAACCCTGAGAGCCAAGGACGGAGAGGGCACATGCAGCAAGGATGTCACTGCCACCTGCTCACGTGCAACTGGGCACCTCCACCTCGTGATCTCCGTCTCCCCTTGTAAATGCAGGCACTGAGCCCCTTCGAGGGTTACCAGGATAATGAGTCCCTCAGAGCAAAAGGCTCACAGCCTGGACCACGTGAGCATCACTAAGCGGGAGGTGTCACTTCAGCAGCAGGAGGCCATGCCTTCTCCCAGGACCTGCTCTAAGGGCAGATTATGGGCACAGCACGGGATAGGCTGAGGGCCCCGTTGCTCCCGCCCCCCGTGCCCCCGTGGGTCCCACCTCCTCCTTCACGCCCTCGGAGAGCAGCATCAGCACACAGGCCTCGATGGGCAGGGCGATGACCCGGCCCAGCTCCTGCAGGTGAGCTCCCAGGGGCACCCCGTACACCCTGGAGGAGGGGGCGGCCGTCATCGAAGGGGAGGGGTCTGCGGGGACAAGACGGATCAGCCCCGGGTCCTTCCACCCCCGGGCAGCCAGGAGCACCCCCAGACACCCTCAGTGACTGCTGCTCTGGCTAACAGTACCACCTCCCACCCAACCGCCCATTCACACACTCTGACAGCATCTAACACACCTCTCAAATCTGCCCACGTCCACTGCTTCCATGCCATCCAGGCACCATCACGTCCTCCTGCCTCCTAACAGGTCTCCTGGCTCCAGTCCTGCACCACTGCCCCACCCCACTCCACCCTCCACGCAGCCATCTCTCCACCACAAACCGAATCGCGCCCTCCCGTCCTCAGAACCATCTATAGCTCCCCATCGCTTTTGACGGATGGAGTGCAAGCTTCTGAGCAGGCCTGAGCACGTGGGGGTCAGGAGTGTGGGGTCAGGGTCGGTCTGCGTCCTCACCTGCTTGGCTGTGGTTCTCCTTCAGCTCGGCCAGGGCTGTGTCCAGCGAGCTCAGAGACTTGCGGTGGTAATCGGCCTGGATCTCCATGAGCTGTGGGGACGGGGGAGAGTGAGGGAAGCTGAACCTCCTTCTGCGAGAGTTGACCCTTCTCGCCACTGGCTCATGGGGGGCCTCAGTGGCCTCTGGCTCTGGCGTCCACTGGGTGGCTGGACCCCCGTCTGGAACTCACGTTTATGAAGTAGTTGGCGTATGAGTCCTCCTTGGTGGCAAAGTGGTACAGGTCGGCCAAATACTCGTCCTTGGAGACAGAGAGAGGAGGGCTTATGTCAGTGAGGCTGGGCCCGGGGTAAGGTGGGGCTTAGAGGGGCTTGGTCACTTGCCCAAGCTGTGGGTGGAGGGTCCAGCCAGCTCTCCTCTCTCTGCCAAGTCTGCACTGGGGACAGCCCCCCCGGAAACGCTTAGAACTCCTGATGGGCTTTTGCAGCTTCCAAGCCTCACCTCTGAGTCCCCATACCCTTAGCCCAGTGCCTTGTGTCAAGCACCGTTCATTCATTCACCTTCATTCATTCACTCACTTAGCAAATACACCAAGACCTGGGTGACCCCCAGCTCTGTTTCCTCACCTATGAAATGAGAACAGTGCCCACCCCGCCACCCCCACCCACCCAGGGAACCGCAAGTGCCCCCTCACCTTGCACTGCTCCACCTTCCTCTTCAGCTCCTCCTCCTCCTCCTTCAGCGTCTCCACCTTGTTGGCCGTGGTGGTGTGGCTGTAACTGCCTGGGCCGCCACCCAGGCCCTGGCCGCTGCCCGAGTTCTTAGCTGCCTGGCTGAGCCTGGGGGTGATCCCAAGGTGGAGTGGTCACGGTCCCCATTGCATGTCCAGAGCCAAGTGTCCCTTTCATGTGCGTGACCACAAGATTTTGGGATTTATAGATACAAATCCCAGAGCTCCACTGGGCCTGGGCCATGTGTGCTCGGGGGCGCCACCTGGTGGTAGACTTGGTGGCCACAACCATCCAACTCCAGAGTAGAAGGTCCTGGAGGATTGTTTATGGCTCTCTTGGGCTTTGGGGTCACTACAGCAGGCATAAGCACGTGCACACACACATGCACAGAGACACCCTTACATGTACCCTAACCTATGTGTTCCTAGGACACCCTGGACCCAGGGGCCCTGCATTGTCCTCCTAGTATGGGAAGGGCCTCGGAGCCCCGTGGCCACCCTCTGGGCCGACCTAGGCATGGATCCCACCAGACGCTGTGGCTCCCACCTGCTCTTGAGGGTATTCCAGTCGGACACCAGCTTCTGCAGGCTTTTCTTGTGCTTCAGGATGGCCGGCAGCTCCTCCTGGGGCAGGCGTGGGGAGGGAGGATGAGTGGGCTGGGGAGGTGGGAGGGAGAGACTGGGGAGGCCGCGGGCAGGGGTTAGGGGTCACCTCACTCAGCCTGTTGAGCGGCTGCAGGACATCCCTCTCCAAGGTCATCTCAAACTCGGCCAGGATGCGAGCCAGCTGGTTCTGAATGGCACAGCTCATCTCCAAGGCCTTCCTGTGGACACAGCACCCAGTGGGCCCCGGCTCCTGGAGCCCCTCGCCCCAATCTAGAAGGACTCGGGGGGGCTTTTCCTCCTCGTCACCTCTTGCCCCTTCCTTCTCTCCTTCATCCTTCAGCCCAACACCCTCCCAGGCCGGGCTGCCCTCATTGCCCTGGACTCTGTCCTCAGCCCAGACACTCCCCCTCCCTAGTGATCCTTGACTGTGGCTGCCCTCCCTGCCCAGATCCCTCCTGGCCTCTCCAGGCGAGAGCCGAGGCCGCTGTCCGTGCTCACCCCATGCTGGAGTCGGGGTCCAGCTCCTTGAAGCTCTCGGCCATCGTGGTGGATAGAGCCATAAGGGGGAGCTTCTTCTGCAGGGAGGGGCAGGGCGCAGTGAGCGTGAGGCCTGTGCTGCCTCCGGGCCTCCCTTCACCTCAGGGTGTCCCTGGGGTGCAGAACCCCCCCGAGGCACTGGGCTTGGAAGTGGGAGGAGGGACCCCAGGAGGGCCCCAGTCACAGGTGGGATGGAAGCAGGGTGATGACAAGGCCTGGTGGGGTGACCTCTCCTGGGGACCACGTAAAGAGCTCCTAGCCCACTGGGGTCCCTTTTCCCATTCCCAGGAGCCACTGGATGGGGGTGGAGGGAAGGACCGAATCCTATTCCAGACCGGAATACTGAGAATAGAGGCCACGGGTTTGCCAAGGCCACACAGTGGGAGGGAGAGTGGGGGAGCTGGAGACGGGCCTCCGAGTGGCTCTCCCTGCCCCAGGCACAGGCGGCTGCCACAAACCCTCCACGCCCCTCCGGCTCCCCTTCCCCAGAGCTCCGGCTGCACTGGACTGTTGACGGATTCCAGGACACGCCTGACCCATCCCCACCTGGAGTTACAGACGGCACCAGCCTCGGTCACGAGGGTCAGGGTTCAAATCTTGGTTTGGCCACTTACTACCTTGGGTGACCTTGCGGGAGCCTCTTCACCTCTGTGAGTCTCCGTTTCCTCATCAGAGCTCTTATTAGCAGCCCCCACCTCCCACTGTCAGCGTTGAGCAAGGCACTGCACTGACACATCTTAGCAACACACTGACAGTAAACAGCCCGTAAAGGCTGCTGTTGATGAATTCCTGTGAGTAGCACTCAAAACCCAGCTCAAATGCCACTCCCTTCAGGAAGCCCTCCCAGGTTGCAGGGCCTGATTGGACAAGGAAGTTCAGGTGCAGTCAGCAGGATGGCCCTGGCTCCCGGACTGGTGCAGAGGGGGGTGGGGCCAAGAGGGGATGGGGAAGACATGGGGCCTCAGGAATGGGGTGCCCAGGGCCTTGGGAAAAAGCAGTCTTCACCCCTAGAGGCTCAGACTGGCAGGGAGACCCCAGCCCTGACATCACTCCCACATTGGACAGAGGCGTCTCAGCGAGGCCCCCTCCTCCCTGGGACCCCCACTCACCACCCGCTTGTCCATATCCGACCCGCTCTGGCCCTGCAGACAGGCCTGCAGCCGCTTGTGGACACTGTGGGCCGCTCGCTTGGCTGGCTCCAGCCGCTGCTCCACCTGGGAGGGGCAGGGGGGGTTATGGATCCCGGGAGGTTACTGCCCCCTCCCTGCTGCCCTGTTCATTACTGCCCCCTCCCCACTGCCCTGTTCGTTCCCAGAGCAGGAACCACGTTCCCCTCCCCTCCTCCTGGGGACCCTGTGGCCCGAAGCTTGGGGAATGACTCAACCGAGGCCCCCAACTGGCGTCCCTGCCCAGCCCTCTGCTGACAGCCTGCAGGGACCTGCCTTGCCACCCGCAGCTGCCCAGGCATGTACCTGCTGGAGGTCCTCACCCAGGAACTCGGCAGTCTCCGTCTCCGGGGTGCTATGGAGGGGGGCGAGGGGGGGAGAGCTTCTGCTGAGCTGGCCCAGATGAGGACCCCTCTACCCCCCCTCCCCCAACAGAGCACCTGAACCCCAGGTGCTTCCAGTGCCCCTCCCCGCTGGGGCCCGCCCTGGGTGGCCGCCCGCTGATCCCAGTCAGAGCACATTCCATGGGGATAGCAATAGGATACAGGCTTTTCCTCCTCCGCCCAGGGCTGAGTCCAGGGCTGAGTCGGAGGGAGGGCGGATGAAACCAAAGGGGAGACTGGGGGAGCCACCCAGGGCCCAGCCTCTCTCTCTCTTCTGCTGACCTGAGGAGAGGAGGCCGGGGCCGCCCCAGAACGGGAAGTGTGTGAGCGCAGGCTCTGGGGCTGTCAGTCACAGAGGACTCTGGACTGCAGTGGTGGGCAGGCCCCGGGCCCCTGCCCGCCCGGGACACATGGGGACGCGGGCCCAGCACCAGGTGGCCTGGCTGCCCAGGCTCACAGGCATCTGTGTGTGTGAGACTGGAACCAGCTCTCCGGGCACCCGTTCCCTCCCCTGGGCCCAGAGATGAGAAACACCCAGCGCAGGGGGAAGAGAAGACAGGCCAGGGGAGCTCCCCAAACTTCCGGCCTCCACTCCACCAGCTGGGGGGGGGGGGAGGCTGAGGCTGGGGGGGAACAGGGAGGCCGGGCGCTGTTTCCACCTGAGGCTGGGAAAGCAGAAGCAGGACAGAGAAGTGGCCCCGGGCTGGGGGAGTGGGGCACACGGCGGACAGGAACAGGCTCTTCCCACCAGCCCCGGCCCTGTCTCCTCCCCTCCCCCAAGGTCTGGGGCCCTGGCCGCCCCTCCCCCACCGGACCCCCAGAGGCGGCTGTCCCATTGCACGGAGGGGACAAGTGAGACCAGGGAGGCGCGTGCACCCCGAGGCCCACGAAGGCAGAGGAGACTCAGCATCCCCGATCCTCCCTGCACCCCTCTCTAATGGGGGGTGGGGGGGAGGGTGCCTTTCCCTCTTGCTCCAGCTGGGAAGAGGGGTGAGTTCGGAGGGGCGGGGGGTGGCAGGGCCCCGGTTAGCCAGAGGTCCGGCTGCCTCCCCCTCCCCTCGGGTCAGGCGGGGGTGAGCGCGGGCTGGAGGGACGGGGCGGCCACTCACCGGCCCAGGCTGCCCGTGTGGGCCAGCTGCCGCATGCGGTGCAGCTGCCTCTTCATCATCTTGGGGGCGGGCTGGCGGCGCCGGGGTCCCTGCGGGGGTCGAGGGCCGGCAGCCCCCGGCCCAGCTGCCCGTGGCCGCAGCGCTCTCCCGGGCGGGTGGGCGGCGCTCTCCGCTTCCTGGGCCGGCGCGCTCCCGCCCGCGCGCTCCCGCCTCCCGCTCCGGCTCCGCCCCGGCCCCCAGGTCACTCCCCTCCGCAAGTTTGGGTTCTCGCTCTCCCCGCCTTCCGGGCTCCCGCGGCCCCCCCGCCGCTACGGAGAGGGTCGGCCGGCCGGCCGCCCGGCGTCCACAGGTGTGTGCGCGGCCCCTCCTCCGCCTCTCCCGGCGCCGGTGCGGGAGGCAGGTGAGCCCGGCCCGCGCCCCGGCCCGCGCCTGGGTGAAATGACCTTTGCACACCCCACTCGAAGGGAAAAAGGATTCCAGGCTTAGGAGACGGAGGCCAGGGGCGGGCCTCCCTGACCTCCGGTATGGCTGGACCTGCCGAAGGATGCTGCTGCCCTGGACTCCCTCCCCAAGGACCTCCCTCCCGGCAGCCAGGACTGTCTCCTCCCCTCACCTCCCCTCCCCTCCCCCAGCAGCCGTGGCCCTGGCTGCCCCTCCTCGCATCGGATGACCAGCGACGCTTCCCCGCTGGGCATTTGCCTGGGGTCATCCTGCTGCTGCGTGCCCTTGGCTAAGTCCCTGGAACTGGGTCTTGATGTCCCTGGTGGCCTGATGAGCCGGCTTCCTGGCCTGTGGAGCTCAAAGAGCAGACAAGATACTCCAGCATCCATGATCCTTCTCCCCTAACCCCTTTATTTAAAAAAAAATTTTTTTTTAATTGATTTCAGAGAGGAAGAGAGAGGGAGAGAGAGAGAGAGAAACATCAATGATGAGAATCATTGATTGGCTGCCTCCTGCACGCCCCACACTGGGGACTGTGCTGGCAATCTTGGCATGTGCTCTTGACCGGAATCGAACCCAGGACCCTTCAGTTTGCAGGCGGACACTCTATCCACTGAGTCTAACCAGCTAGGGCTCCCCTCACCCCTCTAAAGGGGATGTCGGCCACCCTCCAGCCACAGCCAACGCTCCCAGCCACAGCCAACGCCTACATCCTGCTCTCCCCCAGCCCCGCACCACAGTCCTCCTCCACCTGCAAAGTCCCTTCCGGCAAACTCCTCAGTGCCCGCCCCTCTCTCCTGTAAGGCAGTGATGTGGGTGCTGCTCTGCCCCTCCAAACTCAGCAGCAGTCACATCTGGTTCTGCATATGAAACAGTTGGGCACACTGTAGTGCTCCCGAGCTAACTGCTAGCTAATACAAGATGAGAGCCTTTGGGAACGGGGCCCTCCTTCCTCGGAGCCCGTGCACCCCTTAGAGACCAGGCGCCCCGGGTGGGGGAGGGGGAAAGGCGCAGGGGAGAGCCCCGCACTTTGATTTGCTGGTTTCAGTTCAGTTTGAGGATTACTTGAGCACCTGCTTGTGCGAGTGGGCAGACTGGGCACTTCTCTAGGGCAGGACCTTGGCCTCAGGCATCTGTGTTCCAGTGCCCAGCATGGGGCCTGGCTCCCAGTGGGCACTTGCTGGACTCTGGCTGCCTCTCCTCTCCTCAGAGCCAGGCGGGCCCCAGGGGGTGGGGAAGGGTGGAAAAGGGACCCCTCAGCTGTTGCTGCTTGAACCAGAGGCTCCCACCTGAGTGGGAGAAGCTGGAGGCCCCTGGGTCGAAGGCTGAGGAGCTCCCACCCGCCTTGCCCCACCTGGAAGCCCCTGGAGGGGATTGTGGGAAGGGAGCAGGGCTTGAAGAATGCCTCTACGAAGGGAGACACGAGTCCAGTGTAGACCTGGCTTCTTAAAATGTGGGGCTGGGTCTCAGTGTCTGGGTTCCAGTCCTCTCCTCTACCTCTCCACCTTCCTCACGGAACTTCATGGTGGCTCAGTTTCCCCTCTCCCTGCAGCAGGCACCACCTACTGTGTGCAGAATTAGGAAACAGACCCCGAGCCAGCAGCCTGACACCAGGTTACCACTGGCCTACCATGTGGGAGATCTGCAGGCTCCCTGGCATCCCCACCCTGTGTCAGCCCCACCTGCAGCCTGGACCACACGGGGTCCCTGAGGGGAAGGCCTGGCTCCTATTTCTGTGCCTCCTAGACCTGCCCCGGCCTGAGCCCCAGCTCCAGCCTGGGGAGCAGCCAGGCCCTGGGCTGTAGCAGCAGCTGCTGGGGAAACACCCTGAGCCCCCGTCTAATCAGGCCACGTGAGCTCCAGGCTTCCCTCCCATCCAGTCTCCGCAGGAGAGGCACTTGGCTCTTCTGTGCGGCCTGGGTGGGGTGCCGTGCCTTTGGCTAGGCGAGGCCTACATTTTAGGGTATATTTAAGTTCAAGCACACTTGGATGGTGAATCATAAAAGGTTGGCAGGCCCAAAAGTTGAAGGATCATAGGCTGTTCCTTCGAAGGGTGTTGTAACCAGAGATTTTTGGACTCGTAAGTTTCCATCAGTGGGTGTTGAAGTTGTAGTGTTAGGACTGCAGATGCAGAAGGGGACCTCGGAGATCGCCAGCCAACTCCTATTCCAATCACAAGACTTTTCGCCTGGCACTGCAAGGGTTTTTGTTGTTGAACCTCAGCTGAGGATATTTTCCCATTGATTTTTAGAGAGTGTAAGGGAGGGGGAGAGCAAAGAGAGAAACACTGATGTGAGACACAGATTGGTCGCCTCCCACACATGCCCCGACCAAGGACGGGATCAGCTTGCAACTACAGTATGTGCCCTTGACCGGAATCAAACCCTGGGCCCTTCAGTCCTTGGGCCAATGCTCTATCCACTGAGCCAAACCAGCTTGGGCTGCAGGGGTTTGTTAACCTTGCTGGGTCTCCTCTCCAGGAGGGCCCGAATCCTGTCCGTCATGCTGAAGCCTCTGCAAGGTGCTCAAAAAACACAGCTGACTCAACTCACAAAGGAAGGTCCTGCATCAATGAACTTATTTCCTACCCAAAAGTCAGCAAGGGCGTGAACTTAAGGGTGTGGATGGAGCCAGCTGGCTGGGCTCGGCCTCTCACTAGCTGGGTGACGTTGGGTGAGGTAGTTTACCTCTCTGAGCCTCAGTGTCCTCAGTAAAGTGGGCCTTATAATAGCAGCTACCTGCTGAGGATTGAAAGAGTTAATATGTAAAGTGCTTAGGACAATGCCTCGCCTGCAAAGACCCTTTACCTGCCTCAGTTGCCCCCTAAATGTGTCTGACCTGCTGCCTTGGGACAATGGCACTTATTGTCATGTACTTTAGCCCATCCTCCAGTGAGGCTGGTATTGCCCCCATTTTACAGGTGAGCAGACTGAGGTTCTTGCCCCGAGGTTCCTAGCTGGTTAAGGGGTGGAGACCAAGTTAGAAAGCAGACCTGACACCAGCTCTCCAAAGCCCCCATGCGCTCTCCTGCTGTGCCAGAGGGCACCACCTGGAGATCCAGAAATGCTGGTCCCTGCCACCACCGCCACCGGAATCCCGTGGCTGCTTTGAGCCCGAGGCCTCAGTACGGGCTCAGGAGGTGTGACAGCCTGGGAAGTGTCTGCTGTGAAGCTGGGGCAGGATGTGGGCAGGGAGGCGAGTGGCGGGGGCAGTGCAGTGGTGGTAGCAGGGGTCAGCTGTGGGCCGCAGGACTGAGATAGAATCTCCCGTTTTAGACACTTTGCCACATGGCTTGTTTGGCCATCAGTGCTGCCCTGAGTGGAGGCTTCCGCCCGGAGCAGTGGGGAGTGTGGTATGATTGCTGGAGCTCCAAAACATCTTTCCTCCGGCTCCAGTTGACAGGACTTCCCGGGAAATGCTGGGGTGGGGCCGGGGCATGATTCCTCCAGCACAACCTTGATGGCCCTGCACCTTAACCCCAGCTGCAGAGGACAGCCGCTGACAGGTGTGTAGGCTCAGAAGGCAGGTGGCAATAGTTTGGGCCCTAAATGGGGACACCAGTGTCCCTGGAGGATGTGCTAAATGAAGTACATGATGATAGACGGCCTGTATTCATTCCCTGAGCCCCAGTTTCCCATTTCGCAGGGCAGCTATGAGGACTGAGAGGTTGCATGCTCAGGTCTAGTTCAGTGCCAGGCCTAGGGCTGGCCCGTCACCTGCCTGTTTGCCTGTGCCCTGGCCAGGAGGCCCATGGCGGCTGGGGGCAGGGGCATCAGGACAGCAGGGCAGGCTCCCCAGGCGAGCGGCAGCCTGTTTCTCTTGGCGGCCATGAGCGGATGAGCAGTGTGCTGCGGTTGCTAAAAAAAAAACACAGCACGAGCTGCTGCCTCCAGCCCCACAAATAGAAGTGGAAGTGAGGCTTCAGGTCTGGGAAGTCCCACCGCTCCTGGGGTGGAGGTGGGGGCACCCTTTAAGAGGCAGGGCCCACTCCCTTCCTGCGCCCCCATTCCAGCCCGCGGACTCCAAAGGCTCTGGGCCTCCTGCGCTGGGCTCCTCGCCTCTGTCTGAATTCACACTCGGAACTTGAAGAATGATTCCCCCAGCGAGTAGAAGCCAAGGGTCCCTTCCTCTGACCAGACCCCCCAACCCCTCACAGATTTGGGCCTTGCCGGGCATCTCATGTCCCCTCCCTCCCGGCTCTCAGCGTGTCATGCTGAGCTCCTGGCTCACAGGTTCCATGCCAGGCTGTGAGCTGAGGACAGGGCAGTGCCTGGCACAGGGGCTACTCAAGAGGCACTTGCAGGACAGACAACAGACAGACAGTTGGATGAACAGACTACAAACGAGGGAAGGTGGAGGTCTCAAAGACTGAAGGGATCTTCCTGTCCCTGTAACATCTGGGTCATCCCAAACTGACAGTCTGGGATACATTTTTTTTTGTTTTGTTTTGTTAATCGAGGCATTTTTTCTATTTTTTTTTTTAAAGTGGAGGGAGGGAGGGACAGAAACATGATGTGAGAGAGACATCAATAGGATGCCTCCTGCAGGTGCCCCAACTGGGGCCAGTGATTGAGTCTGCAACTGGGGTACGTGCCCTTGACAAGAATTGGACCCACAACCTTCAGTTAACTGAGCCAAAGCCGCTGGGGCTGGGGTGTGCTTTTGCCCAGACTCTGCAGGGTCCCACAGCTCACAGGGTCCCTCCCACTTCCTTTTAAAGCAGGGGTGGGGAACCTGTTTTTCTGCCAAGGGCCATTTGGATATTTGTAACATCTTTTGTGGCCATACACATTTATCAGTTTAAAAATTAGCCTGCTATATTTGGTCATTTAAAATTAACTCACCCCTAATGCCTAGGCAGGTAGGGCCAGACCAAATGATTTCTTGGGCCTTATATGGCCCCCAGGCCGGATGTTCCCCACTATTTTAAAGCAAGGAACCTAAAGATCAGAGAAGGAAGGGCCTTGCTCAGAGTCACACAGCAAGCCAGGGAACCACCAGAAGCAGCCCCACTCTAGCTGCAGTCCCCCCCTGCCCCTCTCCAGCCCACACGCAGCCCTTCCGGGGTCAGCAGAGATTGAGCTCCAGATGGTGCTTCTGGGACCCCAGGGGCCTTACAGGAAACGGGGCTGTTTCATTTAAAAGGACGGACCTTCCAATTAGACTGTCCCTGAGACTTCACAAGCCAGGAGCTCTGCCTGGCGGGAAGGAAACAGCTGGGAGGGCAGTGTCCAGGGGATGCTGGAAGGTTCCAGCACTTTTGTCCCCTCGGCAGCAGGGCAGGTGTGGAGCGCCCCCTACCCTTCAGCGTCCCTGCCACACAGCAGCGTCCTCAGAAGTGCAGGGCTCTGAAAACCGGCGGGCTGGCTGTCCTCCAGCACATCTCAATGGTGCCTAAGGAAGGGCTTCGGTGCCAAGATCAGACTGGGGAACACTGGGTTAGACAAAGTGAAACTGGTTTCTTAAACACAGGGCTTCCATCTGCTGGGAGCAGAAATGGCGGGCGGCCTTCCCCAGATTTACTGGAACAGGAACTCTCCCGCAGAGAGCCGCGGAGGGCTGGCTCCACACCAGGGGCAGTTCCCTCCTCGCTAACCCCTCCCGCTCAGCTCTGCTCAGCACTGCCGGATCTCCCAGCCACTCCCAGGGCCTGGACCCCAGCCTCCCAGTTAAGAGAAACTGATAGCAGCAGGGGAAGTGCGCTGCAGCTGGGAGTGGCAGGGGGCCCAGGGCAGGGTCCCTGGGCCTCTCAGAAACAAGCTGCAGCTGGCACCCTGCTTCCTGGGAGCAGCGCCTGGGGAGGAGGAGAAGCGAGGCCCAGGCCTGGGGAGGGGGAGAAGCGAGGCCCAGGCCTGGGGAGGGGGAGAAGCGAGGCCCAGGCGGGCCTCCGGGGCGGGGCTGCAGCACAGTTGTGTTATGAGAGCCGAGTGCCGCAGGAGGAAGTTGTGAGCAGCCAGGGCTCCTGGCAGGCCCAGAGCAAGCAGAGCGAGGGCTGCTCCTTTCCAGCTGGGACGGCTCTGCGCCCGCCCGCCACAGCCCTGAGCCCTCTCTGGTGACTCAGCACTGGCCACGGGCCCGCAAGCAGGGCCTCTTCCTGTGCAGGGCTCAGGGGTGGTGGGGAGAGGAACCATGGCCTGATCCCAAATGCAGAGGCAGAGAGGCCTGCAGGGTAGCCCTGGACCCCCTCCTGTCTCCATCTCCCTTCACCTCAGAAGGGCCACGAGAGAGCTGGTCCAGGAAAAAGGACATTTTATTTCCATAAATACTCCTGCTCTCACTCACACACTGACCACTCCTGCCCATAAACAGATGGACAGAGGGCCTCTGAGACTCCCACGAGAGGCCCAGCAGAGGCCCAGGGATGAAGGGGACTCTGAGAACCAGTGCAGGCCCTCCCTTGGCCAGAAGTCCTGGGGTCCCCTGGGGGCCACCTGCCTCGGCATGGCCCCCCGCAGCTCCTCAGGAGGCCTGAGAGCAAACGAGCCAGGCCCACAGAGGGAGACCCCCAGGAGGAGGAGACAGGTGGGGCTCCCCCAACCGGGCCCCCTGAGATGGTGACCACAGGGCCACTCAGAAATAAAAGCTGAGTCAAACCACACACCAGAGTGCAAACAACTGGGGGTGCAGGCATCGCCCCCCCACAGTTACCCAGTTCCTATGGAGGAGGCCTGAGCTTGTCCCTGGCTCCAGCATGGCTCCCAGTTATGGCTGGGCCTTCCCATAAGGCATAAAATATGGGCGGGGATGACCCCACCCCAGGCTGGGGTCGGGGCTGGGTCTGAGGTCCTGGCCCTGGCCCCGCAGCCATGCTCCTTCCAAGGACCCAAGTCCTTCCAGGCCACAGCCCTTCCCCGCGGCAGGCTCCCCCCGCGGTGACGTCCCCAGCAGTGCAAACCCAGGCCCAGCCTCCTGCTGGGTTGGCTCAGCAGGGGAGGGGATGAGGAAGGAGGGGCACAGGGGTGGGGAAGAAGCACCAGGCACAGGGAACATGGCCAGGGGGACAGAGGGTGTCCTAGGCCACCACGGCCTCCTGCCCGGGTTAGCCAGTGGCCAGTCCCGTTGGCCCCTCCTCCTCTCCCCTCCCCTCTGTGTCCTAGAGGCTCCCCCAGCTGTCGGGCGGGGGGAACTGGTCCACGTCCCCCATCTCGTTGTAGGTCTGGTCGCCCATGGTGAAGAGGAGCTTGTAGCGGAGGCGAACCTTCTCCTGGGGCAGAGACGGCGAAGGCAGAGGGTCAGAGGCGGAGAGGGGCTGCCCCCGCCCCACAGCAGTGCCCCGTCCCAGCCGGGCCCTCACCTTCTGGGGGTTGGCGAGGAGCAGGACCTGGGTGATGGCTGAGGGGTGGACGATGGGGTTGAAGGCCGGCAGCTCCGTGCCTGAGGGTGGCTGCAGCTTCACTTTCATGACCTGTGGCCAGAGGGCAGGGCGGGCGCAGCTAGCCCCGGCTTCTCCTCCCCACCCCGAAGAACCAGGCCCAGCCTGCCCGCCAGCTCCTCTTCTGGGGGTCCTGGGGCCCTGTCCGCCCCGCTCCCAGCTGGCCCCCCATCTAGCCTGGAGTCACCCTGCCTTGAGAGGAGGGAGGTGTGAGTGTCACCTTGGGGACAGCAGACTGGAAAACAATGTTGCGGATGGGCTGGGGGGCGGTGCTCAGCATGGACACCACCACCACCAGCACGTCGGAGCGGCCAGGCAGCGGGTCTCGTGCGAAGTGGAAAAGGACCCGGAAGCCATGCTGGTCATACACAGTCACCGGCAAGATGCTGCCTGGCAGGGAGAGGGCAGAGGGCCATGAGTGGTGCTGTGCCTGAGCCCTAGCACATCCGACCAGCCCCCCACACCTGGCTCAGCTGGGAATGAGCGAATGAACCCACAAACTTAGGTCCTCGCCTCGACCCCGGGCAGCAGCGCAGCCAGGGGTACAGACTGATGCCCAGGAAGGCAGGTGAACATGCAGGGTGATGGCGGAGCAAGACACCCAGCTGGGAACGGAGCCCCGTGCAGGGCTCTGCCCGTCCGTGCACGGCTGCTGGCTGCATGCTGGAGTCAGCTGGGGTCCTGTCTCACTGTGTGACCTTGGTCTGGTCACTCCGCTGCTCAGGGCCTCCCTACTGGCAAGATGGGGCACCACTACCTACCTCCCGGACACAGGTGTGACGCCCTTGTCACGGGCGGACGAGGCTGAGAAGGCCGAGTTGTCTTTATCTGTCTGTGCTGCTGGGGGCCCCCTATTACTCCTGGGCGGAGAAGCCCTGACCTAGACCTGGATCTTCATCTCAGTTTGGTTTCGTGATCTTGGGGAGACCCCAAACCTGTGTCCCGGGAGCCGGCCATCGAAAGCCTGCTGCCTGGGTAAGGCTGGCGTTTACATGGCAGTTCTGCGCCACCCTGGGGTGGGTGAGGAGACGGCTGTGCAGGGTCCTGCCCAGAGCTCCTCGCCGAGCCAGGCAGGGCAAAGGACTGGGACCAAAGACCCACTTTCCCTTCCGTCCCCCAGAAAGAGCTCCTGGTGGGTGGTGCTGCTGGGCCGTGAGCTGAGCTGGCCCGGCCGCACCCGTCGGTGCCCGCACTACTCACTGGGTTTGATGGACTCCAGGGGCACAGTGATGTTGGCCAGCGAGAGCTCGGTCTGTGCAGGCTGCTGCGGAGGCCCCAGGGGCTCGGGAGACGTGCTGTGGAGGCCGGCAGCGCCGGCGCTGGGGGAGCCGCCGCTGCTTTTATTCTGCAGGTCCCGGAGCGTGAGCCGGGGGGCGGGCTGCTGCTTCTCCCTTATTGGAGGGCGGTGCATTGAGAGGTGACTCTTCGGTGACCGAGAGATCAGGGCACAGGGAAGGCTGGGCTTCCTGACCGGCCCTGACGCCTCCCTGTCTCTCTGGTCCTGGTTTCCTCATCTTGAAACGGGCAGCTCTCCCACCACCCCTGCCCACAGGGGCTGTGTCCTTCATCTTTGGCCTTCATCTTTCTCAGGGGCTGGGATGCCTGAGTGGGGCACAGGTCCTCTTTTTCTCATAAACTCCATGCCCTGTGGGATGTACGGGCCCAGCATCATCACCCTTGCACCCAGTGCAGTGCTTGGCAACAGGTGGTACACTGCAGCCTCTGCTCACAGGATGCACTGGCACTGGGCCTCTCCCTGCCCGTCTGGTTGTGGGACAGAGGGCTCCCCCCATGCCAGCCGGAGTGTGCCCTCACCACCGCACTTGTTGGGACTCCGGGGGCAGTGACTGCTGCAGCAGGGTCTTCCCCAGGAGGTCCAGGTCATCCAGACCACTGCTTGCTGGCAGGGATGTCTGAGCGGGGTGCCAGCTGTCCGTGCTGGGTGCTGGAGCGGGGGCGGGGGGCTCGGCGCCATTAGATGACTGTGGGGCACACAAAGGACGCAGGTGGGTGAGGTGATCTGAAAAGGAGGCCCGCCCCCTCCCTGCAGGTGACGTCTGGGGGAGCAGCAGCAGGGATGGGACCCCCTTCCTGCCAGGCCTGACCCTCTCACTCCAGGGCCACTAGTGGGTCAGGCCTGGTAGGCCTGGTCTGGGGTTCCACTCTAGAAACCATCCCATTCCAGGGACCTCAAAATCACCCTCAGGAGAACAGGAGTAAGGAGCCCCCACCTCAACCCAAGGGAGGCCCGAGGCTGAGACTGGCGGAGGTGCACGTGGAGGTGAGAGGACCGCCTGCCTTTCTCCACCGGGGACGGATGCCTCAGCCCGGCCGTCCCCCCCCCACCCCGCTCCTCTCCTCTCACTGCCCTCTCGGCTGCCTGACCCAGCTGCTCTGCTCCAGGATGGGTCAGGCTCGTTCCGGCCCTCCTACCTGGAAGCTGTTCCATCCAGCACCTTCCAAGCTTGGGCCTGAGGGTGGTGTGGGGTCACTGAGGCCTGCGGGGGAGCAAGAGGGAGAGAAGGGGGTTGGATTCCTGAGCAGAGGCGAGAGAAATGGGGCTCCTGTGGGATAGGTTGGGGTCCCTGGATCCTCCCCTCCCCCCAGCACTCCTTCCTCTGAGGCTCAGCTCGAAGGGGAAAAGCCCACTTCAGCACTTTCACAGGCAGCCAGCCGCAGAGGAGGAGGAAGCTAGCATCCCAACAGCCCATTCCCGCCACATGCTTCCTCTGCTGCTGCTCAGAAGCCAGTCAACCACAGATGTCAGGACTTCCATCTGCACCCACCAGCTGGCAGCTGCTGGTGGTGGTGGGGAGCGGAGCAGGGAGTGGGAGACACCAAGAGGGGTTCCTGATCCAGATGGCCAGAGGACAGCTCCCTGCCGACTGACTGGAGGGATGCCCTCTGAGCGTCCAAAGGGCACTGTGGTACAGTGAACGGGGCCCTAGGCCAGAGCTAGCCCAGAACCGGAGCAGCCAGGGCAAGGTGCTGGTTGGGCAGTAGTGGCCCCATGTACACAACGCAGGGTGGGCTGGGGCAGACTGTGAACACCCATCCGCCTTGGCACGTGCCAACTAGGCTGGCTCACTGGTGCCGGAGAGCGCTGTAGGCCCTGTGAAGGCTGCTGATCGGTAGAAGGCAGCAGGTCACCAACCAGTCTGACCTCTGCCTGCCCTGAAGCACACTCTGGCCAGGTTCAGCCCAGCCTTCACCGACAGAAGACAAGTTATCCTGTTTCTAGCAAATCCTGAGTGAGTGAGGGCCAGCCTGTGCCAGGCAAAGGCAAGGCGCAGGAAGCTGTGGCTACTGGCTCCCTTCCGCTGGACACACCTCTGACACCGCGGTGGTAACCGGTAACATTTCCTACACCCCCTGACGCATCAGGCACTTCCCACCTGGTCTCACTTAATCCTTAAACCACCTTACAATGTGGTTCTCATCCCTCTTTTAGGAGAGAACAGATGCCCCGAGGGGTTAAGTAATTTGTCCAAGGTCACAGACTAGAAAGTGGCCGAGTTTAGACTTGGACAGAGCATGGCCTACTTGCTGGAGTTTGAGAACAGCTCTGCCACTTAGCTGTGTGCCCCTCGCTGGTGACAACCGCCCTGTGCCTGCACACGACAGCAGAGGACTGCTGTGATAAACAGGACGGACCAGACGCGGGGCCTGCACAGGAAGTCCTCACTGCCTAGCCCGCCCCACCCCTCACCCTTCCCGCGGCAGAACCGTTTAGGAAAAGCCGCCTTTGTGGTCCTGAGGCTTCCTCTGCCCCCAGAGCCGGGCGGGTGCTGGCCCGGCACTGCTGGTTCCTGTTCCCACATCTCCTTTGCCTCTGAGAAGAAACCAGAGGAAGCTGGAGGCTCAGGCCTCTGCTGAAGCGACACAGGGACAGGAAGCGCACAGCACACCTCGCTTCTCCCGAGGTGGCTTTGCCGCAGGCACTCACTGGGGGTAGGCCACGCACAAGCGCCCCGGCAGTGGCTGCTGCCCTGGCTGTCACTGCCGCCCTTCCCGCTCCATGAGGCAGGGCGGGGCCTCTGGCTTTGAATGAGGAGCAGGTGGGTGTGCAAGGGACCCTGCGGGCAGACCCTCCTAGGCAGGGTGTGCTGACATGCCCAGAGAGGGGAACTGAACCTGGCCCACTGTCCCCCTCCTCTCCCTCTCACCCCAAGTCTGCATTCCCTTTCCTGGCTGGGAGGTGAGACAGGGCTCAGGAGGCTCCGAGCGAGGCTTCAGCACCGGTGCCCTCTCTGGGCCTTGCCTCCGCATCCTGTGACCAGGGGACGCTAACAGCACCACTTCCTGGGATGGGAGGGAGGCCAGTCTGAGAAAAACAGCGCAGCAGCTGTGGCCAGGCAGCTCTGAACCCAGGCAGCTCTGACCCCGGCTGGCCCTCCCGGGCCCCGCACACCATTGCTGCCTCGAGCCCGTCAGGTTTGTTTTACCTCCCAACCTGCCTGACCCTGGCTTCCAAGTTAGTTTCCCAACTTATCCTTCAAGATTCCTTTGACAGAGCCCGTCACATCTCCATTTTCACAACCTCGGAGTAGTACGGGGCTGCTATTATACTCTCCTGCTTCTAAGCTCTAAAAGCTGGAAACCCCAAAACTGCTCGGCAGGCTGGGCGCCTTCTGCTTCTCCCCCAGGGCTGAGCCTGGTTCCGGCCGCCGGAGCCCTGGCCCCGCCTGGCCCAGGACCAGCGTGGGCCACAGAGGATGGGGTGCTCCGGCCTGAGATTCCCTGGAGCTTCAGAGTTCCCCTCTTCCTCAGAGGATGAGAAAATGCTGACCTCTTGCCTGGGCAGCATCCAATTCTAGGATCCCCGCTGCAGGGATGTCTGTTTCCCCCCGGAGCTGGGTGTTGCTGGCATATCAGGTTCGGGGGTTGGCCAGCCTCACCCTTTGACTGTCCGACCTTACACAAGCTCCTTGATTTCCTCGAGCCAGAGCTTCCGCAGCTGTGAAAAGGGCCTCCAGCCATCCCCCACACCCCACAGTGCTCAGGGGAGGACTCCCACGCCGGCCTGACCAGGCTCTGCGAACTGAGCCCGCCCCCGCCGGGCCCGGCCCATCCTCACCCAGAGACATGAGCTCATCGTCAAGCAGGGAGACGGAGGCGCTGGGCTGCTCGGGGCTGGCCTGGGTGACAGGGCAGGTGGGCACGGCTGGGTAGGTGGTGCCTGAGGGAGGGAGATCCAGGCCTGAGAGGTCCAACAGGGCCGAGGTGCTCCCTGGAATAGAAAAGGAGAGTCAGCAAGTCCTGGGGGAGGACGCTCAGGTTCTCAGAGTCCGTGGGCGTTTGAGGGGCAGCTGTCCCCCCCACCCGTCATGACTCTCCTGCTTCTCCCTCCTTGGCCACACGGCCCTTGCCCCTAAATCTGCCCACCAAGCCCTTTCCTTAGCACACCCATTCCTTCTGTCTGGAACGGATTTGCTTCTTCTCTCTACTTGGTGACCTGCCTCCCACGCTTAAGGCCCTGCTTAAATGCTACTGCTTCTGCATAGGGCTTCCCCCCTCCCTCCCAGGGCCAATTCCCACCTCTTCTGTGGGTCCCAGGGCTGGCATTTTACCCTACTGAATCAGCCTGTTTGTGTGTCAGACCCTCCTACCACTTCTCATAACGGGACTAAGCCTTGGGGTGTCATCCAGCCCCGCACCAGAGGTGCCCGAGTTGTCAAATAAAAGGTCTTCCTCCTGCCTGTCCTTGGCAAACCCTCGGCTGCCTCCCTCTTTGTCCCATATCCAGACTTCCACTCCCACAGCTGCAGGCGTGGCACAGCCTCTCTCTCTGGGGGGCTTTCCCCATCTTAAGGGGCCAGGGTCACCCTGACGGTCACTGCTACCAGCTCTGGGACCGGTGCACCACCCTAGACCCTGTCCCCTCCAGCCTGCTGGGCCCCTCCCATCTCCCGCGCCCCTCACCAGGGATGGGGCCGGCAGCGGCGTCTCCGTTGACCTCCTCGCCCCGCACCAGCTGCTTGTACAGGTTGATCACCTGGGTGAGGTTGTCGTTGGCCTGCAGGATCTCCGCTGCAATGGCAGGAAGGGAGAGGCCAGTGTGAAGGAAGGTGGGCCTCTGTGGGGAGATGAGCACCCACATCTGTCCCAGCGCTCGTGAGGGAGTGGGGCGGCGGGCATCTCACCTCATCTACTCAGACCCAGGCCCTCGGTCACCTGGCCCCTGCCCCCTCCACACTGCCCCGTGCCGGCCCCTGCTCTCATGCATGCCCCCCGCTCCAGGCCTCCACACGGCTCTGCTGTCGATACCCCAGATCTCTGCATGGTTCCTCCCTTCCGGTCTTCCCCTAAGTCACTGTGGGGAGGCCTCCCCTTATCCCACCCCCTGAGCAGTCCCCTCCCGGCGTGGTTTTCCCCATGTCTCTCAGCACCACCTGACAAACTGCCACTGCTCGCGTCCTGGGCTTACTGCCTGTCTCCCCCCACTAGGCCACAAGCTCCATGAGGCTGTGGCTTGTGTCCATTCTGATCACTGCCACATCCTGAGGGCCCAGAACAGTGCCTGGCACACAGCAGGCCCTTGTCAGTATCGCTCCTGGGGAGCCAGGGCTTCGGGGGATCTGGACAGTGAGCCTCTTGTTGGAGGCCAGGTCCCTGGCCCATGGGAGGCGCTAAGTGAGCTCCCGCTGAACGAAGCGCTGAGATGGTACCCAGACCGCCGCCCAAGAGGCCCTGCTGTCGTGGCAGCAGAGAATAGGATGAGAACCTGATATGTGGCCCTGGCAGAAGCCACAGGCTCAGCTCTGGACCTGCCCAGCCTATGAGATCCGCTCAGTTTGCAGCCCTTTCCAGGGAGGCAATGTCTGCAGAGAGAACCCTGCTCCACCCTGGTTCTGCCTCGGTTCTGTGATCTGGGAAAGTCACTCCTGCCCCCTCCCCCGCCCCAGCACTAGCTGTGAGACGGCGGTAATTTCCCTCCTGTGCGGCTTGTGGGCAGTAAATGAGGTGTCTGTGGAGGGGCTTGGCCCAGAGGGTCTCTCCAGGATATCAGATCAGCTCTCTGCTTCCTTCTTCCTCAGCTAGGAGAAACCCAAGGTCAATGCTGGAGGAAGGGGCCCCCTGGTGGTAGCTCCTGCTAACTGCAGGTACTCAGCACGCCCTGGGAGAGATGGGGGAAGAAGTAGGATGAGCCAGCTCTGCCTGGGGCTCACCTAAAGCCTCATCATTGTCCTCTGTGTCACTGGCCAGTCGGAAGAGTGTGGGTCGCATCCGCTCACAGCGCTGGTACAGCTCCTGGGGGCGGTAGGGTGGGCAGGTCAGGGCCGCAGGGCCGCTGAGTGGACTGGGACAGGGTGGAGGCAGGCGCACCTTCATAAGGTCCTCGCTGCTCTGGGCTGCGGCTCCGCCCTGGCTGTGGCTCATCACCATCTCCGTCAGCAGCTTCACGTTGTTGTTCACCTCCTCAATGGCGCTCACCCGCTTCGAGATCTTCTCCATCCGCTTCTGGTCCTAGGGAGGCATCAGCAAGTGCCCCGGAGAGCTGGGTCAGGCCCAGCCCCGAGCCAAGCACAGCCCACACCATCTGTTCCCAGTGCCTGCGGGCTGGGTGTCAAGGCAGACACTGCTAAGAGCCCCTCGTGCCCAGAGTAGAGGACTCTGGTCCAAGAAGCCCTCAGCCATCCCTCCTCGTTTCTTCTCCTCCTGCCAGTGCCCCCCTGGTGTCTGCATGGGCCCCCAAGGACTTCCTGGGCCTCTGACACACTTGCCAGGTGATTCTGGAGGACCCGGGCCCAGACCTACGACACCTGTGATTCCACATGAGCCTTGCCTTCCTCGTGTTTGTCCTTAAGGGTCAAGTGAAAGACCTTAAAGGCCATCAAGTGCATCTGGAAACTAGTGCAGTGACCTCTGCCAATGTCGTTAGTCCTGGTAAATGGATGGGCACTGCTGGCCTTGAAAGGCCACTGCAGGAAGTGCCCCTGCTACTCAGGCCAACTCTTCTTATTACCCATGTTCCTCCCTCGGGGCGTGAAAGGTGGGCTCGTGCCGCGCTGTCCTGGGATACATCCCTCTCTTTGCAAGGGGCCAGCCTGGACTGGCTCCTCATGCAGCCTGACTTTGGGACAACTCAGAACTTCTGCCCGCTGGGTCTCTAGACTGCAAACTTTTCTGAGGACTTGCCTTTATCAATAAAAAAATGTTCCCACATGCACCCACGATATAGGTATACAGATGGTCCCCAACTTACAATGGTTCAACGTAAGAGTTTTTTTACTTTACGAAAATGATATGCGTAAATTACATGATAGTAAAAAATAGGCTTTGTGTTGGATGATTTTGCCCAACTGTAGGCTAATGTGTGTTCTGAGCACATTTAAGGTAGGCTAGGCTAAGCTATAATGTTTGGTAACTTAGGTGTATTAAACACTTTATCGTTTTAAAACATTTTCAACTTACAATGGATTTATGAGACATAACCCCATTGTAAGTCAAGGAGCATCTGTATTTATTTATAAATTAAGCATACATTATTCTCTCTCTCTCTCTCTCTCTCTCTCTCTCTCTCTCTCCACACACACACACACACACACACACACACTCCTCCCTCTCTCTCTAAATATAATAAAGCTTAATTTATTTCTAATTTTTATGGAAAAGATCCAGGGAAGATGAACTTGGCTGCTGGGAAATTCTCCCCTCTACACAGTGGTCCTGGTTCAGCCCACTGGGGTCCCCGGAGTCAGGCAGCTCTTTCACTGCTGTGACAGCCCGTTAGCCGGGTCACTACGGAATCCCTCCTCTGCACATCCACCCAGCTGGCCATCTTCCTGCCCGCTCCTGCCCGTGCTCTGGGCTCGCTGTCACCTCTTGCACCATCTCCTTGATGAGTTTGTTGGCCGCTCGGAGGTCCTCCGGGTGGGAGCTCTTGAGCAGGCGGGCCAGCATCTGCGAAGACAGAGGGGCATGACCGTGATGGCAGGGAATGGGCCTGGGGTCACATGCTGGCTCCCCACTTCCTGGCTGTGGGATGTTACCTAAGCTCCCCATGAAATGGCCAGAATCTACTGACACTTGATGGGGTGGCCACAGGACAACTGAGACACGGCACACAAGTGCTCCCCACAGTTCTCAGCAGAAATAAGTTCTCAAGAAGCTGAGCTGTGGCTACCCTCTGGGGGGGGGCGAGGTATGCAGGAGCTTTTACTGTGTACCTTACCTCCGTGCAGTTTAACTTCTTGCCCATGAACACGTGCTTCTTTTACAAAAAGCTAATGAAATTATCATTCAACGGGAGAACAGCGCTAAAGCTATGCAAACTCCTGGCAACCTCTGAAATGCCCTCAAACCAACCCCACTGGCACCGACACTCTTGTGTTTACTAAATGCAGGGCACCGTATGGGGAGGACTCGGCATGCAGGAAGTGCCTGTCACCCCCCACTGCTCATCTTGAGCCTCTGCTTCAAGGGCAGGGCAGCCAGGGGTTGGGATTCACTGACCCCCACGTGGGCCTTAGAACCCTCGGCCACACCGTCCTTGGAGCCTCACCTTGGATTTCTCCTCATCTTCAAAGATGACATTCTTGGACCGAGGAGGAGGATGGGGAAAGATGGTGTCAACTGGAAGCTTGGGGTCGGACTTCACTATCCCTAGAACAGACGGGTGGTGGGAAGGCTGTCAAAAGGGCTCAGGCCCAGGGCAGGGGGTGTGACGGGAACGTGGCCAGGTAAGCACAGAAAGGACGGTGGAAGGCAGTCTTTCTCCAGCATGCTGGCTCTAGACTTGGGTGGGCCAAGGCCAGCTCCTGACCCATCACACTGCACTGCATGGGGAAGAGCGTGGGCACACATATTTTGAGGCCACTCCATGGGAGCCACTCTCTGCGGGAAGCTTACCCAAACCCACCTTCTCTCCACCCAAGCTGGCCTCAGGCAGGGCGACAAAAAGGCTCACTGGCATGTTCTTGAGGAGTTAGAAAGGGCAGACCCATGACCTTGCCGCCAGAGCTCCAAAGTAGTGGGAGCCCGGGTGGGGAGGAGAGGAGAGGAGGGGAGGAGGAAAGGAGGGAAGAAGGGGAGGCTCCAGGGCCTCACCCTGCTTCTTGAGCATCTGGTAGGCCTCGGCAATCTTCACTTCCTCGGGCAGGCCAACCGTCCAGCTGTAGAGCAGCTCCAAGATCTTGTTCTTCACCTTCTCTGAGGTCCGAGAGCCCAGGTACTGCAGAGACCAAGGGGAGGGGAAGGCCTTGATGTTGGCTGGCTGCCTTCTCAGAACTCCCTCAGAAACCTGGGCTCCAAGACCCTCACATCCCACCCAAGCAGCCTGGCACAGACGGACCTCACCTGCTAGCTCTGTCACTCGCTAGCTGTGCTAACGCTGTATGCCTCAGTTTCCCCACTGTTAAGAGTGGGTGATAACAGGGGCACCACAATGAGGATGCAGAGCTTACATGGCTAAGGCAGAGCCCAGTGCCTGCTCAGGTAAGGTTTAACTCTGTGACCTCAGGAAGGAGCCGCCACCGGACTGACAAGGGCAGGGGCAGCTGTGGGCATGCTCGGCCCTGAACCTCCCTCAGCCCCCGGCTGTACACTAGGCTAGGGGAACTGGCTCTCACATGAGTCGCCTTCTGGGAGAAGAATGGGAGGCCAGGAGGATCATTTAGCCACTCAGACCAGCAGGTCTGAGTGAGGAGGGGCGAAGGGGGTAGGGCTTCACCCAAGAGGCACCAAACATGTCCATGAGCCATGGGAGGACTCCTCAGGCAAGCGGGGGGTGTGGTCCATCTGGAGCCAGCAGGCTCCATCACTCAGGTTTGGGGCCTCAGCATCCCAGGCCTCAAGGGAGCCACTCCTGTGAAGTGGGGACAGGAGACCCTCCCCTACAGACTCAGGTGGGGTGCCGTGGCCAGGTCTGCAGGGAGAGACCTCAGAGCCAGAGCAGCTCGTGCTGGCAGCTGTGTGCACTCCTGCGGCTGTCTGCCCCTAAGTACCAAGCAGCTCCAGGGCCAGCCGCCATGTCAGCGGAAGCGCTCTGCCTAGAGATCAGCTGCCCCAGACTCAGCGGGATGAAGGGGATCAGGAGAGAGGGTGTGTGCCCCACCTGGTGAGAGTTCTAAGGGGGGCTGAGGCGCAGGAGCGAGAGTCCCAGGAAGAGGCCTCGGGATGAGGTACAGTCCGTCACCCGTCGGCGGCACAGAGCTGAGCTTGGGCTGGGAGCACCCACCTTGGGAGACACCACCTTGATGAGCTCGTTGAGAAAGCGGAACTTGCCCACCTCATCGTGGAACCTCTTGCCGCAGCTCTTCATGCATGTTTCCAGCACCTGGGGCGAGGCGGGGTACGGGGACCCCGGGGAGGGTCAGAGGAGGCGGCCCAGAAAGGAGAAAGTGACTTGTGAGGACAAGAGGGTTCGGCCCTGAGACTGATCACCACCTCCTTCCTGGCTTGGCCGTCTTGATATCACTGGTAAATTACTTTCTTACTATATTCCTTTGATTGTTTTTTTAAACTTAAATGGGCACCATCTACCTTAGCCTTATTCTAAGCTCTATGTCTGTGGAATCACAGGACTAGTGTGCATTGGAGAAAACGAAACAAAAACGTACTGTGTTAAAAATAAAGACATAACTATTCAAAGAAAACCTGTTTGTCACTACCACCCAAAGTCAGCTTGGGTACAATCAGTGGCAACAGGACCCATGCTGGGGGGCTCAGTGCACCTGGTGCTCTTCTGCTCTTGGCACAGAAAGCTCGGGCCAAGCCCAGGCCCCTCCTTGTACTCCTGTCTGCAGGCCCCTGTTGGGCTGGGTGGCTCCACAGCGCACCTGGGAGCTTTGTAAACACGCAGACTCCTGGCTGCAGGCACTGTGGCTCTGGTCCAGCAGCTCTGGGTGGTATGTGTGACCAGCCCCCCGGAGAGCTGAGGCACAGCCTGGGTGGGGAACCTCTGGACCAGATGACCCTAGGGGGCTTCCTCCCCACAAGAGACCACCTGCGCAGGGTCTGGGAGAGGAGGCCAGCCCATGGTTGCTGGGGGACCCTCAGGGGATGCCCCAGACCCGCATTCTAGGCCATCTTGGCACAACTCCCTTGGACCCTGAAGATCCGATGGGACCCCAAACACCTCAGTCTTGGCCTCCCCTGGTGCTACCCACGTGGTTGGCGGGCGGCCAGCACCCTCTTTCCTCTTCTCCTCACCGTCAGAGCCTGAATCGCCTCCCACTCCTGCGGGGACTGGATCTTGTGGGCCAATAGCCGGGTGGCAAGTGGAGGCCTGGGTGAGAGGAAGAGACAGAGCTAGAACAGCCACGCAGCTCAGGCACCCGGAGAAGAGCCTCACTACCCTAAGGCCGTAGCCCTCAGTGGCTTCCGCAGGGCAGATGCAAAGGCCCAGGGCCCTCTCTGGGTCAGGGGGCAGGGCTGGAGACTGTGGCATGATGGGTAGGGCCAGGGAGGGAGTGCAGGCTGGGACTTTCAAAAGGCGTGAGCTCAGCCCCTTGGCCAGCTTTTCTAAGAACAATGACCTGCCGTGTCCTTGGCTCAGCACAGACACAAGTATGGAGCGATGACCTCAGCCTTCAAGGGCCCAGGCTGGGAGCAGGCAAGACAATGGACCAGGAGAGATGGGCAGACAGCTCCCTGGGAACTCAAGGACATTCTAGGAACTGGTCGGCAAACTCATTAGTCAACAGCCAAATATCAACAGTACAATAATTGAAATTTGAGAGCCATATTTCTTAAACTTAAATTTCTTCTGACGCCACTTCTTCAAAATAGACTCGCCCAGGCCGTGGTATTTTGTGGAAGAGCCACACTCAAGGGGCCATAGAGCCGCATGTGGCTCGAGAGCCACAGTTTGCCGACCACAGTTCTAGGTGCAATCAGAGCAGCTTCATGGCGGAAGTGGTGGTTTCATCTACCAGAGCCTAAAAGACCCATTAGTGCCAGTAACAGCTAACGTGTACTGAGTGCTATGACGTGCACGGCGCACAAGCACTTCCTGCCTAAGCTTCGTAAGAGCCCTCTGAGGCGGGCGGCACCGGCGCCCACTTTACAGGTGAAGTAGAATCTTGGAAGCATTCAATTTCCTGCCCCACTAACAGGGGAGGGGAGTCGCCCCTAAGCAGTCTGACTCCAGAGCACACGTCACGCTGTCTGCATGGCCGCCCCAAGCGGAGCGCTGCACTGGGGGAGGAGCACACTGAGCTGTGCTCCCCAAACTTCAGCATCACCTGGGAACCCACTACCTTATCCACCCTAAGACCCCTGCCCGGCATCTAGTCCAAGTCTAGGGGCAGCCCCAAAAATGTGCATTTTCACAATCAGGACTACCATTGTCTCTCTGTGACATCTTGGGGCAACTGCTGAATCCCACAGCCTCAGTTTTTTCACCTGTGAAATGGGCCCAGCAAGGCTCACCTCGGAGACAGGCTCATAAACAGCACTCGGTAGTGTGTGCCCACTACTGTCATTAATGTGTGAGCACATGAGCCCTGGCCGGCTACTCAGTTAGTTAGAGCATCATGTAATACACCAATATACCAAGTTCAATTCTTGGTCAGGGCACAAATAAGAATCAACCAATGAATGCATAAATAAGTGGAACAAATTGTTGATTCTTTCTCTCTCCCTAAATCAACCACTAAATAAATAAAACATTTGTGAGGACATTAAGAATAGAGACGGCTGCCGAGACCGGTTGGCTCAGTGGATAGAGCATCGGCTTGGGGACTGAAAGGTCCTGGGTTCGATTCCGGTCAAGGGCATGGACCTTGGTTGCGGGCATATCCCTGGTGGGGGGTGTGCAGGAGGCAGCTGATTGATGACTCTCTCTCATCGATGTTTCTAACTCTCTATCTCTCTCCTTCCTCTCTGTACAAAGTCAATAAAATATATTTTAAAAAAAAAGGAGACGTCTCTGCCTGAGGCTAGCGTCTGCGGTGCGCACAGCAGGTACACGGCGGATTCTGCTGAGTATGAGTGAGAGAGGGAGAGACCACCTACCCCTCAAAGTCCTGGTTGAGCTGCTCACAGAAGCCGTTGATGTTGGTCCAGTCCAGCTCCTTGTTGAGGGGGTTCGTGGCTCTGTCTGCAGGAAGAGAGGGCTGGTGTGGCCTAGCAGGGGGATCCCTGCCTCTCATTCCCTACCCCGGCAACAGGGGGCAGGGTGTGTGGCTGAGCACACAGAAAGGCCAGTTGCCACAACTTCAAGCCCTGAGTGCTGCTGTTTCAGTCCCGACAGAAGGAAGCCTGGCCACTGGCTCCCCCTATCGGCTGCTCCCTGAAGGGCCCCCACTTTTAGAGACTGTCCCGCTCTCCACTGCCCCGCCCCTGCAGCTGTAGGTCTGCCATGCCCACACTCCGATTCTGCTCCTGGAAACAGTGTCTCCATGCTTCTCATGAAATGTATGCTCAGAGGTCCAGAAGCAGGAGAGAAATAAACGTCTAGCTTCTCCCTCAGGAGTCTGCCTGGCTGGCAAGTGGGCCAAAGGAACTAGGTTCTCAATACAAGGGACAGAGGGAGCCAAAACCGGTTTCCGCTCAGTGGATAGAGCGTCGGCCTGCGGACTGAAAGGTCCCAGGTTCGATTCCGGTCAAGGGCATGTACCTTGGTGGCGGGCACATTACCAGTAGGGGGTGTGCAAGAGGCAGCTGATCGATGATTCTCTCTCATTGATGTTTCTAACTCTCTATCCCTCTCTCTTCCTCTCTGCAAAAAACAACAATAGCAAAAAAACAACAACAAGGGACAGAGGGAGGCAAAGGAGTGGCAGGAACTGGAGATGGGACTCGGTTGAGCCCGGGGCCAGGGGAGGCTGCCTGGGAGAGGCAGCACAAACAGGGGTGGAGGGAGTTACCAGCTGGGCGTGCTGCCTCTGAACAGCCCCAGGGCCAGGGGAGAAGATGTAGATAACCGAGCACCGAGCACCGGGCCTTGGTAAAGGGCTTGGCTGAGGTATCACCTTCTCCAGTAGGTCTCTGCTAGCTCCCCCTCATCCTCAGGTTGGTACTGCTCATCGGCCCTTTCTTGTGTGTCCCTCAGCCCTGACCGTCACCACCGGCCCAAGCCTGCTGCTGCACCACATCCACCTCCCTACGTGTGCACGTGCCCTCTCCTCAGGGACACGAATGAATGAGGCTCAGCTGTAGGCAGGCAGGAGTGGTAAACAAGGCCACAGAGTCACCTCCCTTAACACCAACATGGGTTACACAACCACCAAATAGGTCATGGAACTTCCCCAGGCCTCTGTTTCCCCATTTGTAAAGCTGGATTGAAATACAGACTGATTATGGGGCAGCCAGAGGCAGATCTTTATTCCTTCCCCAGAGCCTGTCTCCAAGCTTCACCCTGTCCTGGCCCGTTCTGCCCAAGCCTGAGCCAGAGGGAGTGGGAAGGAGGGAACAGAGCCCAGGAGATGGGACAGGGCAGGATCTGTGGACAGGAGGCTGGAGCCCCCGCCCGTGGCAGCTGCCCACTTGGGCTCCTGTGCTGAGGGAGGTGAAGCCCTGAGGGCCTAGTGACTGGCAGCCATTCATTCAATTCCTATTTATTTAATAAACATGCGGAGCGCTGGGGCCACAGCAGTGAACAAGACAAAATCCCTGCCCTCCTGGAGCTCACAGGCCAGCAAGAGACACTGACTACTCAGATCAACAACGCACACAGAATACTGTACACGGTTGTAAGCGCCATAAAGACAAACTGCAAGGAGAAGGTACAGAAAGGGGGGTGGGTGGGAGGCTGCTCTCGGGTACGTCTGAGCAGATATCTGAAGCACTTTCTCTCTGGGTATAAACTCTGTCCCCGGAGCCCCCAGTCCCTTAGAGAAATGAAGTCCCGCTGACCACCCAGGGCACCAGGAAGAGACACCCCCCATAAGTGTGGCCATCTACCCTGCCTCCTAGCCCCCCAACTTGGCCAGAGGTTGGGGAACACCAGTCTGAGAGAACTGGGCTGGCTATTACCCACTCAATGACACCCGGCTGGGGGAGAAGCGGGGAGACCCCGAAACAGGAAGTCCCTTCCAGTATCAGACATGTGAGTCTGAGTGTGGACAGATAGGCTGGTTCTAGGGGTTCTGGCCTCCTGAGTCAGAAGCCAGAGGAAGCTGTGCAATCACGAGACATCAGCTTTCTCCCCTGCATCTTTCTCAGAGCGAGGGCCTCTGGGTCCGAGGAGATCTGCCCAACTTCTCTGGCCCTGGCCCCACCCCCCGGCCCATTACCTCTGGGAGGAAGGAGGGGGCACCTCCAGGGGGGTGTGACTTTACCGTCACTCCAGTGGCGATAAATGTCATCATTTACCATCGGAAGCTACTTTCAACCTCTAATCAGCCCAAGGGAACAGCTTACAGTTTTGTTGGGGCACAAAGGGAAAGAAATAGAGGGAACCACCTCGGTCCCAATTGACTGCCAAAGCAAGTGTCCCGATTCCTCTCTGTTTCTCAGGTCAGACTCTTTGGTCTCCCAGAAAATGCCCCTAAACCTGACACTGTATCATCAGACCGCCAGTCCTTCAGCCCGTCACGTCTGTCAGCCAGGGGCCTGCCCATCCCCCCACGTTGCTGCTGCGCCCTGGACACTTGTGGCGTTCTGGAACAGTCTCCATGGCGGCCGAGTGCCTCCTTTCCATTCCCTCCCTCTCCCCCTGCCAGACTGACACTGAAACTTCCCAGAGGCTGGTGTGGTTCTGGGGCTAACCTCAGGGGTCAACTATGCTCACCCCTATTAGCTTCCTGCCGTGCCCGAGGCCAAGGTGCTGAACCGAGTGGAGACCCAGAGGCCTCCCTGAGGCCCTGGCACAGACATGGGTCCCACACTCGCCCAGAGAGAAGCAACCACAGCTTTCTGGGGCAGAGTCCAGGAGCGGGGCTGTGAGAGCCAAGGGTGTCAGCAATGTAGGGTAGGGAGCTCAGTGGAGAGCTCAAGTGTGAGGGCTCAGAAGCCTAGAGCAGTAGGAAGATTCAGAGAAAGGGGTGCAGGGATCTTCAGAGGAAGTTCAGCAACAGCTAGGAAAGGAGGCTTGGGTGGAGGTGCAGAGGCCGAGGGGCTGGGCTGAGGGTGGTGACAGAAAACTTGAAATTACTTCTGGACAACGAGATGGGCCCTTTCAAGCCTGTAGGGTTTGGGGGTTTCTTACTGTGTGGCCCGAGCTCGGGGGATCAGATGAACCAGTGGGTCCTCCCTTCCTAGGCGAGGGAACCAGCAAATCTGAGAAGTTGCAAGCTCAAGGAAAGGACAGGAGGGAGGGAGGGCATGCAGGACCAGAGAGTGGAGGACTCGGGCCCCAAAGGGAGCAGGGTCCTTTCCTCCCGGGTCTGAAGTGCAGCCCAGCGCTCGCTTGCTCCCCTCCCGGGACCCAAGGAGATGATGACTCGGTGAAGTCTGGGCCTGAGTGGGTCGGAGGCTGCTTTCTCCGTCCCGGGGCTGCTGGGCGCAGAGTCGGGCGCAGTTCACTCTTCCCCGAGGGCTGCTGCCCGGGAATCGGATGGGGTGTCCACCCCGTCGATGGGGTCTTCCTTCATCTCAGGGTCGGAGGCACCGGTTCGGGGTACCGCCCCTCCCGGGACCGGGGCGGGGCGTGAGGAGGGGGCGCCCCGTACCCCGCCCCCGCCGGGAAGGGACCCGCCTCGGGCCCCCGGTTCCGGTTCCGGCCCGGCCCGCGCCCCTCCCGGACACTCACTGATTCGCGCCTCCAGAGTCTCCGGCTCCATCTCGGCCTCCATCCGCCACGGGCCCCCAGCCTCGGCACCGCCCCCCGCCCCCCTCGGCTCTCGCGGGACCTCCTCGGTACCACCCTCCGCCGATTAAAGGGGCAACGTCTGCCCCGACGCGCAGGAGCGGCGCACACGAGCGCTCGGGAGCATAGAGATCCGCGCGAGCTCCGCTAGAGCGTCACCTGCCCCTAGCCCCGCCCCCAAGGGGCGTTACGTCACGGCGGACCCGCCGCCGGCCTTCCTGTTCGCGCGGCGCTCAGGCGGGAGAGAAAGCGGAGAAACTGGGGACTGAGGGCGGCGCCGTGGAAACCCCACGGGACGCTCGAATTCGTCCTGCGTCACGGAGATGCCTGTGACCGCGTCCAAAAGAACGTCCTGCGGCCATGCTTCTGAGGGGCTCCGAGGTCACTTCCGGGACTCTGAAGTCACACCGGGAGACCTGAGCGCGTACTTCCGCTTATTGCCAAAGTGGGCGTGTCCCTTAAAGGGGCCACGACGTTCGTGGGCCGCCTGAGTACTGGGAAAGTCTGGCGAAAGTAGTTTGTCGATTGCTTGCAGTGGTCCAGGCATTGTTCTAAGCGTTTTGTTTTTGTTTTTGCTTTTGCACATGAATGCATTCACTCCTCCCAGCAAACTCATGAGCTAGTTAGATAGTTTGCCTGCAATCACACAAGTGGCGGGGCCTGACCTCAGCACTATTTTCTGCATTCTGCCACCATTTGTTGCACTCTGCATTTCCTTTGCTCTGTGACGGACGTTGGAAAGACAAGGCCAGGTATTTATTACACAGTGTGATGGGGAAGCCCACGAAGTATAGGTAACCCTGGAGGAGCCTCTATCCCAACTGGGGGTGGGGGAGAAGGGGAGTCTTGTCTGGGGAGGGTTCACAGGAAAGATGATATTTAACTTCAAGACAGGTGTTTCTCCAGGTAAACCTGGTGCAAAAACATATCCCAGGCGGACCAAGCCAAACGTTTCCGGGCACACAGGGAGAAAGTATGGATAGTTCAGGGAATTGAAACTATTTCAATATGGCTCCAAAGGATGTTGGCCTGGAATTAGGCCGGGCAAGATCATGCAGGTCCTGTGTCTAGCTTTTTTTTTGTGTGTGTGTGGTAATTTATGTGGAGGTATCACAGGTAGTGACAAAATCAGGCTTTTGTTTTAGAGGTGTCCTTGCGGCCACAGTGAGCGGAAGGCACTGGTGGGAGCTGGTCTGAAATCAGGGAGGCAGAATAATAGGCTGACTTCCCAGCCTCGGTGCCTTTTCTCCCTCCACTGAGGACCCTCCTCACCTGCTTTCCCACCCGAGGCCCGGGATATCTGGTGATGTCATGCCCAGGGCGCCCAGTGCCTGGCTCTCCTGGTTGCAGTTGGTTGCTCCCTTGTGGCCCAGCGGGGAAGTGGCCGGCTGGGATGCCCTCTCCAGCCACCCTGTGCTCCGGAGGGTCAGAGCGCCTCGCAGACTAGGGAATCTGGCCAGTCCATTTCTGCTCAGCTTCGGCTTTGAGAATGACCTCGATTCACCTTGCAGAAAAGCAGACCTCAGCTGGGAGATGGGGAGGGGGCGGATTGGGGGGAGGGGGACGGGACGGGGGTTGTTCTGGGTCGGTTATTCCCTAAACTCAACCATTCAGCTGACTAGAATGGTTTTCTCAATTCTCCTCAGGCCATTGAAGTTATACAGGAAAATGATATGTAAGTTTATTGCATTTCTCAATAAAAGTTGTAACATCATATGAACTTAGAGCATTTTTCGTTTCTTTTAAGTATATTTTCATTGATTTCAGAGAGGAAGGAAGAGGGAGAGATAGAAACATCAATGATGATCCGAAACCGGTTTTGCTCAGTGGATAGAGCGTCGGTCTGCGGACTGAAAGGTCCCGGGTTCGATTCTGGTCAGGGACATGTACCTTGGTTGCAGGCACATTCCCGGTGGGAGGTGTGCAGGAAGCAGCTGATTGATGGTTTCTCTCTCATCAATGTTTCTAACTATCTATCCCTCTCCCTTTTTCTCTGTAAAAAATCAATAAAATATATATTTTTTAAAAAGAAACGTCAGTGATGAGAGAGAACCACTGATTGGCTGTCTCCTGCACGCCCCCTACTGGGAAACCCCAGCATGTGCCCTGAGCAGGAATCCAACCGTGGGTGACCTCCTCGTCATATAGGTCGATGCTCAACCACTGAGCTCACCAGCCAGGTATCTTTTCCCCCCTTTTATTACTAACATGAATTATGAATTATTACAGAAATAAAACAACCACATTTGCAGCATTGGTTTGGGGCATAGACACTGGCAGGAGTCACTTTTTGAAGACAGCAGAGATTCATTTCACCTGGGCTCAAATCCTGGCTTCACTGCTGTCTGAATCCAATGGCCCGGGGCAAGCCATTCAGTCGCCCTTTTTCTCCAGCTTCTTATCTGAAACCTGGTTGTGAAAATTCACTGGGAGGGTGTCTGCAGCACATGATCCCTCCTCACTTTCTCTGCTGACCTTTCCCCCCAGCACGTATCTCTGCCTTCATCTTCGTGTTTTTTGTCTCTCTCCCAACAGAATGAACGCTGATGAGGATAAGGCATTTCCTCTGTTTGGTTCACTGATATATCTTCTTTTTGCTTCTTCTTTGTTATTTATTGATTAGAGAGAGAGAGAGAGAGAGAGAGAGAGATCAATTTGTTCCACTTATTTATGCATTCATCGATTAATTTTTAAAAAAACTCCCTTTTTTATATTTTATTGATTTTTTACAGGGAGGAAGGGAGAGGGAGAGAGAGTTAGAAACACAGATGAGAGAGAAACATTGATCAACTGCCTCCTGCATACGCCTTACCGGGGATGTGCCTGCAACCAAGGTACATGCCCTTGACCAGAATTGAAACCGGGACCTTTCAGTCCCCAGGCCGATGCTCTATCCACTGAGCCAAACCAGTTAGGGCCATCGGTTGAATCTTTTTTTTTTTTTTTTTTTTTTTTTTTTAATATATTTTATTGATTTTTTACAGAGAGGAAGGGAGAGAGATACAGAGTTAGAAACATCGATGAGAGAGAGTCATCGATCAGCTGCCTCTTGCACACCCCCTACTGGGGATATGCCCGCAACCAAGGTACATGCCCTTGACCGGAATCGAACCCGGGTCCCTTCAGTCCCCAAGCCGACGCTCTATCCATTGAGCCAAACCGGTCCCGGCCATCGGTTGAATCTTGAATGTGCCCTGACCGAGGATCGAACCTCAACCTTAGCATAACGCACCACATCTAACCAACTGAGGTACCTGGCCAGGGCCCGCAGAGGAGAGCGAGATCAGTCACCGTTGGGGCAGAGGGAGGGGTGAGAGAGAGGAGGCACCCTTGAGGAGGGAACTAAAGAAGAAGGAAGAGAAATTTGCTCCCGAAGATGAGGGGACAGTGTGTGGGGACCCAGGAAGTATGACATGCTGGAGGGAAAGGTGTGTGTGGCAGGAGAGAGCAGAACTCTGTGACCTTGGGCAAGTCACTGCACCTGAGTCTGAGTTGGCGGAGGATTAGGGATAACGTAGAACGCCTACTATACAGGTGGGAAAAGATCTCTATAGCTTTTACTAGTATACAGTAAGATTCAATACAGGCTAAACAAAGAAAGCTCCAAATGGTGATGACTATTGTTATATCTGGAGAGGCCCTCGATTCTATTCTCCAGGTTTGGGGCTTGGGTTTGACTCCTTTCTTTTTCCCCCCAAAGCTTATACCTGAATGGCCCCCATCCTCGTTTCTCCCCTGGGAACTCTGCGCACTGACGCTTTGTCTTCCTGTCTTCCCGAGGGAAAAGGACGCCAAGTACAGCAGGAAAGACTTGGATACGCTCCAGGAAAGGACTTCCTGGGGAGGAAGGGGACAGGGCGTGTTTCCCTCAGTTATGAGAATCCCGGAGCAGGAAGGAGTCTTGGCGATCACTTATCTGGTCCAGAGCTTTTCAACGCACAGGCATCTAACGGAGGAAAGGGCTTACATCTGGACCAGGGAAACTCAAGTTTCCTGAGGCCTGCATTACCCAGGCAAAATCCCACATTTCTTTCGAGTGGGAAAAGAAATTCCTGTAGATTACAAACTTTAAAAAGCTGACAAATGCCACAACCATAAAATCAGAACAATAAGACATTTTTACTTACCTACTTGACAGGCCACTGGAATGCATTTTTCCCCCTACAATGTGGCCTGCATACTCTTCCTATAGCAGTGATTACAGTCTCTTTTCTCTAAGGAGAAACAAAAAGTCAGACTTCTAGCCTGTTTAATCGAAAAGATGTTTTCTACGCCCTAGCCTGCTTGGCTCAGTGGATAGAGCATGGGTCTGTAAACTGAAGGGTCCCAGGTTCAATTCCAGTCAAGGGCACATGCCCAGCTTGCAGGCTCTGTCCCCAGTGAAGAGTGTGCAGGAGGCAGCAGATAATGATTCTCTCTCATCACTGATGTTTCTATCTCCCTCTCCCTCTCCCTTCCTCTCTGAAATCAGAAAAAAAATATATATATATACATATATATGTGATATTTATTTAAAAAATATACATTTTATTAATTTTTTTTACAGAGAGGAAGGGAGAGGGATAGAGACCTAGAAACATCAGTGAGAGAGAATCATTGATCAGCTGCCTCCTGCACACCTCCTACTGGGGATGTGCCTGCAACCAAGGTACATGCCCTTGACTAGATTCAAACCTGGGACCCTTCAGCCCGCAGGTTGACGCTCTATCCACTGAGCAAAACCAGCTAGAGTGTATGTGATATTTTTTTAAAATACTTTCAACTTTAGAAAGGTTTTTCTCAGCTTCATAATCTGTTACTGATAATGTCATGTAAACCTTACATTTAAAAAAATATATATTTTATTGATTTTTTACAGAGAGGAAGGGAGAGGGATAGAGAGCTAGAAACGTCGATGAGAGAGAAACATCGACCAGCTGCCTCTTGCACACCCCCCACTGGGGATGTGCCTGCAACCAAGGTACATGCCCTTGACCGGAATCAAAC